TACACAACTGTTGCTGACAACATTGGTTAATGCAAAGTAACTCAAAGGAGGAAAGAACACGATGTGAGAGGGGTTAAAACAAGGTCTGCCATGGTGAGTTAAATATTGAACTAATGGAAAAAGATCAGACCAATTCTGTGTGGGTATGTGGGAAGGCATGGAGACACTGGAGAAAATTTTCCCACTGAAAGGAACAAATTGGAATGTGTGTGTGCGGGGGCAGCGCGAGAGGCCCCCGGGGTCCAGCATGGGTTGGGGTGGGACCAGGACGGGGCGGCCACGTCACAGGTGTCTGATGCTCAGCGCAGGAGGAGAGTGAAGAAGCTGGCAGAGAGCCGGCAGCCGGGCAGAGGGACAACACTGACTGAGGACACTGAATTTGGGAATCAGAAAAGAGAGCAGGGCAGGGTCATCTGATCTGCATCGTTTTTGAAAAAGAAACAGAATAGTGCACAAATTTCTGGATTTCTTCTCCCAGATTTTTGTGTTTATTGCTTCACTGAAGTCTTTACGTGTGCTGAACTCCAGCCCAGCAATTCCCAGGGTGGCAGCGCTCCGCCGGGTCCCGCTGCCCCTCAGCACCCTGTGGCCAAGGGCAGGTGGACAGAGAGCTCTCCACGCCCTCATTTCTGAGGGACACATCACGCTGGGGGCCCAACGTGTTACGAAGCAGAGATACCACTCCAGGGAACAGTCCAGGCTTCACAGTGCAGACATCCATCAGCTTGTCCCTCTTGCCCTGGCCTGCGTCTGCCCTTGACTGCATAGCCAGGTTCACCACAGGCTGGCACAGACTGACTGGTCTTGGACTCAGAAAAATCCTGTGTGTCTTTCCTTTGGGGAGGAATAAGGGGGCTGTGGGAGAAGTGCCACAGAGGTATGAGAGGGTGCACCGGCAGGATGGTCGTAAGTGGCTCCTGTGTTTCCAAGGAGGCAGCTGTGGTAAGATGAAGAACACTGGACGAGGAGTCAGAAGGCCCGAGTTCAAGCCCTAACCTCACCTTGACTTACTAGCTGTGTGACCGTGGGCAAGTCCCTTCACCCCCTGGGTTTTCGTGTCCTTGTCTGTATGATGAGTCACTTCGATTAGATCAGCTCTGTGATTCCTCCGCATGCTGGCATCTGAACTGTCCTAAACTAGATGCCTTTGTACCTATTTCATCTCCACCCTTATCATTATGGAACATCCCTCTAATGCTGACACACTGAGAGAGGAGCGCTGCTTTTGGCTTGAGACACTGTTTAGTGGGGTCTCATGGCTTCCCTGGATGGTCATCCTCCTGTCCCTCTGATCCTGCTCTGAACCTGTCTCTGGAAGGCCCATTCTTCGCAGGGGAGGGGAGGAAAGGGTGCTGCCCTGGCTGGCGACAGCCGCAAGGTTGGTGTGAACTCCCACAGGGTGGCCCTGCCTGGTTCAAGGGGGGGTGCTGCCCAGGGCACTGAGTCTCCTGACATTTCAAGCTCTTTGTTTCATTCGTTTGATTCCTCTGTTTTTTCCTCAATCAGGAACCTCCTACCTGCTACTCCTACGCCGCCACGCAAAGCTCACCTGGGACCCCGGGCGGCTCCTTTCTGGCGGATCTAACTGCGTGCGTTTGGCAGGAGCTGCCGGAGTGGGGACCAAGGTGTCCCGAGTGGGGAGCGTGCTCTGTGCCGGTATCCCTGGAACCCGCTGCCCTCCCACCAAGAGGAGAGGCCCTGCTGACTGGCAGCCCACGCAGCCTCACCTCTTCAGAGTGCTAGCGAAGCAGCCTTGCAAAGACTGAGGCAAAAGCGTGTGAAAATCCTCACTGCTTCCAGCTCGCGGGCTGCCTGCGATGCTCTGTGACTTGGCTCTGGCCCTGCAAAGGGCTCCAGGAGCCTCAAAGAGCCGCTGCCGGTGCTGTTTGTGGGGAAGGTTCCCTCCCCTTTGGATCAGACTCTCTCTCAGTTCTACCTACGGGAATTACCCAAATGCGGCCCAGCCTGGAAGGCTCTTCCCCTTGCCCTTAGTTGCACACTGCACCCCACATAGCCCTCCGCATCCCATCTCAGGCAGGCCTGGGTGCGGATGCACCCTCTCCAAGACAATGTCATAATCTGTATCGTTCCCCCTGAACGTGCCGCCCTGCAGCAGGGCCTCAGTCTGCTGTGTGTGCGTGTGGGTGTGCCCAGGGGTGGGTACTGTGTGTGGGCAAGGAGGCAGCCCCTTAGCTGGAAAACCCACAAATATCCTTGGATCTGTTTCCACCCCTTTTCTAAGGCTAACTAAACTATGAAAGCACAATCTGGGCCCAGGCTGCAGATACCCGGTGCAGGGCGAGCAGTATTGGCCCTGGCTGCCTCTCCGAGAGGTGGACACTTCTCTAGACCTCGGGACTTGCCAGGAAAGGGGTGGGCCAGATACCTCCAACCTCTCAGGACAAAGGCAATGGACAAGGGAAGCAGATAGTCTGGTTTTCCCTTTAGCTTAAGCTCAACCATCTCCTCAAAAGCAAGGCGAGGAAAGACACGTCCCATTCGCCATAACCCAGGCTGTCCCATGGCCCTGCAGTGGGGTGCTCCCTGACACTGGCCTCCCCACTCCTTCAGCTGCACCCAGCTCTCTCTGTGGGGAGAGGTATTCAAAGGAGGGACCAAATAGTGGAGACGAGGCACCAAAATACAGATAAGTTAAGCCACTTGCCCCAAGGGACAGAGCAAAGGGGTCCAGGAAGGAGGGCTGTTTCTCAAGCCCACCCTGCAGGTTTGGACTGCCCAGCCTTGTGGACCAGGTCCTCGCTCCAAAGCTTCTCCCTTCGAGCCTTGAGCCTTGGTGGCGTAAGCACTCAGAGTGCTCCCAGGCAGCGTCCACTGTGACCCAAGACACAGTTCCAGGCCTGTCAGCCCCGCAGGGCAGGGCCACACCTGACTATTCACCCTGTATCCACGGCTCAGAGCCCGGCTCAGATTGGATGTGCAGGAGTATCTAAGCGAACAGATGGACAAATGAGAACAAGAAGCCACAGCTCTTACAGCTGAGCACAGTAGGTGGGATTGCAGCACAGGCAATGGAATTTCTAGAGTCACTGCAAGACGACCTACACTTCTTCCCCGTGGCCAGGAGGCTGAGACACCTATGGTCTTGCCCTCTCCTGGCATCCTTGTTGGTATATTTCAGGGTGTTGCTTGAGAGCCCCAGCTGGCAGGGGGTGCTGGACAACACTGCTTTCCTGCTGAGCTGGGTGGACTCTGGCATGAGCTCCATGGAAAATGGACTTCCCTCTTCCTGGAAGGGGTGCCTCCCTAACCCTGCAGTCCGCATACCTCGCTAAGCATCTGCCATCTTTGCTTGGGGTAAACTTGGTTCTTCAGGCCCAGGTTTGCTCCAGCCTGCCGGGACTGTGATGGCGCGGTGGTGTGGGCTGCTTTCAGCCTCTCAGGGCGGCAGCCTCACGAGGGCTGAGGGCGCTATCTTCATACACAAAGGAGGATGGTACAGAGCCTGGCAGGACAAAAACGAGGAGCAAAGCCAGGCTGAGGAATCATCTCTTCCCAAGACCCTATGGTAGCAGAAGCCCTTCCCCGGTCACGGGTTGTACAGCACACCTTCTAGAGGCAGGGGAATGGGTACGATGACATCTTAGTCCTTCCTGCCCTAAGAGCCTGTTTTCGGTGCAATGAGTTCACTAGCATGTATGGTGCAGTATGGAATGAGGGCCTGAGAAACTGATTACTTTGCTCAGATCCAGAGTGTTTTCTAGAAAGGCCGGTCCTTTAATTCAGCTCACAGGCACACTTCCCTGACGTTCCCTTCAGAGACGCTGGGCCTGGGCTGCAGGAACGCCAAGCTATATCCAGGCAGGTGCTGAGGAAAGCCACGGAACGGGCCCCTGAGCTCACTCCCCAGCCCCTTGCTATTCACCCTATCCCCTTTCACCATGAGAAAGCTGCTCCTCGGGCTTCCGGGCAGCAAACCTGGACAGGCTTGGGCCAAAGGACAGTTACTCACTCTCAGCTTAGAACAACACAATTGGCTCAGCTCTGGGCTCTGGTTTCTTACCTGCAGAGTATGTGTCTACGGGCTTAACCTTCAATTGACTGATTATTAAGTGATGCAAGCATTGCTAATACCTTTGTGGCTTAAACATGTGGCAAACGATGCTTTAATAAAGTCTCTGAAGGACGCAGCCCTATTCCTGCCCAGGCCCCCTGGCAAGCAGCTGGAGGCTCAAATCGGAGGCTGTGCCTGTGGCAGGTGGTCCATTACTGGGGTCCGCTTCACCCTCCTGAAACCGACTCTAGCTGCAGCAACAGCTAAAGGGTTACTCTTAGGCTCAAGATCTCTCTCTCTGAGGCTAGGTACCTTTGGTTTCAAAAATGGACTAGGTGGGGAGGATGAAGGCAGCGCCTTCGGTCTCTGAGAACTGCAGGTCTGCGAGTGTCTCCAATCTGGGGCAACGGGATGCGGGGCGGGTGTCGAGTGGCTGCTTCTGGTTCTGCCATGATGCTTGCAGAGGCTGCCCCGTTCTCCTTGAGACAGGTGTTGCTGGAGGCTTCAAGGCTTGCAGGGGTTGGGGGAGCCTGGAACTGCAGGGACAGATCAGAGCTGCATAAGGCATACGGGGAGCACTGAGTCCTCCGGGCCAGGCACACAGCACCGTCAGCGCGGTGCTCCCGCAGGATCTCCTGATATGTAAACACCCTAAGGAAAGGACACATCGTCAGTCCTGGGGCCACAGAGCCCCATCCACACACCACGTATATTTCAACGTCACACAGAATCGACGAGGAGATGCCATCTGCTAGAGAGGAAAGGGGAGCAGTGCTCTACACACCCAAACACACCAGCAAAGCTTTTGCCCCACAGGGTTCCAGTTGCCGTGAGGGCAGCAGCACAGACCCCTGACCAGGTGGGTGTGGCCCTCTCTCCTACATCCTGGGTTTCACTGATGGGGAGGGAGAAAGTCCAAACCCTGCTCTTTCCTTCTCTCTTGAGGTGAGCACAGCCCCCCAGGGACCAGATGCTGATTTTCTTTTGCTTGAGGTACACGGTCACTGGAGTTGAGGTCCTTTCCATCAGCACCTACTCCTGTTCCTCAAACTCCTCCTTCAGAGTCAGCGCAGCTCTTGTCTTGGGCACTCTGGAGGAAGGGGCAGGGTAAGAGCAAGGAGCAAGAGGTAAGCCCACCTCCCAACCGAACCAGAGCGAGGCAAGCAGGCTGCCCGCTCTCTCCTCGCCAAAATACTGTCATTTTTCAGAAAGCAGCCAAGCCCAGCTCAGCAACTAACAAGGCCAAAGCGGAGGGGTGGGGGAGAGGGGAGGCATATGGCGAGAAAGGCATCCTTCGGAAATACATTGGCCCAGCGGCGGGTTGACGACTACAGCTTTTCTATGTGTTCTTTACCAACTAGTCCTTTTTGCCTATCTTTGCAGTTCCCTGGGGGAGAATCCACCTATTCTTGCTTTTTCCAGGGACACTTCTTCAAAAGGAAGAGAAAATGGAGATGTTGGGTCTGGACGGGAAGATGCACAGAGTAAAAACAAAGACAATGAAAAGTCCCATAACCAACGGAGACTGGTGAGTGTGTGCCGAGGTCAAGGGCAGGCAGTGGGGGTGAAGGCTCAGGGGGTCTGTGAGGCTGAGCAAGGGACCCAGCTCCCTCAGCTGAGTGTAGCCATGGCTCTAGCTCTCCCACAGCTGGCACCCGGGGCGCAGGGGGTCGTTGGGAGGGGGCTTGTGGTTGGCTGGGTGGTGACTGGTCCTCACAGCTTAGCAGACCCCACGTTGTACCCTTGTCCCTGAAGGTGGTGGTGGCTTTGTGCTAGGTCTGCAGTGTCTTCGTCTCCCCCTCTCCCCTCCTCCTACTTTCAAAGTAGTGGCTGTGCCCTGGGGGCTCCCTCAGGCCAGAGAATAGATGGCGTTGACCGGCGATGTGGCCTCTGAGCTTTCATTGCCCTCTGTCTCCTCCTTGTCCTTTTTGACTGTGTACTGGCCGATGAAGGAGCCGTCCTCATTGAACTGCCCCTCACCGCCCTCGCCATAGTCCACCAGGCTGTCGTCACTCTCCTGCTGCTTGATGGTGCCGTCCAGGGACGTCTGGCTGCCCTGCAGGGGCTTATTGTCCTCATCGCTGGCCGGAGAGAGACAAAGAATCAGGGCCTGGCATAGCCCTGCACAGCCCAAACCCAGGCTGGGCGGGACAGGGCCACCGGCCTCTTGCCAAGCACGCGTGCTACACAGCTCAGCGAGGACAGGACCCCAGGAATCCCACAGCCCAGCGCTCGTTCACCCTCCCCCATCCAGCCAGTGCTACAGAAGGGAAACGCAGACCTAGAGAGGCCAAGCGTCTTCTCCATGGTGAGGTGGCAAGCTGGTGCAGGGAGGCAGAGCCCACTGCTTATGAGAGCAGGTGGGATGGGACGAGTCAAGGACAGGGAGTCCCAAGTGTGTCCCTGTGTGGTCTTGTGGCCTTGGGCAAGCCCTTTCTTCTCACTCATTAGTGTCTTCATCAAGAAGGACTGAACTAGTCAAACGACTTTGACTCTCATGATCTGTGACTGTCTGGAAAGGCTCTGCCCTTGACAAAAAGCAACCGTCTGGGCCTTAAAGAAACCTCTCCCCTGCCCCTCCCCTTCTCTGTCTTGGTGTTGCCTCTCTCAGCTCTCTGGTTTATCAACAAACAGATGCTGTTGCTTCGGGCCTAGCAAGTGAAAGAGGGTGGGAGGAGGGAGGGGCATGTGGAGAAGTCCTGAGGCTAGCCACTGGAGACAAAGAGTAGAAGGGCTCAGAGGATCCTGCCCAGCCCCTGCTGAGCGGGGTCCCCCCCCGCCCCCCCTCAAGCCCCTGCTGTGCAAGGAGAGCTGGGAGGATGGTAGTTAAATGGCATCTACCCCTGGGATGCCTGCCATGCCCCCAGGAAGTGAGACACCCGCGTGGGCTGCGCGTCTGCTCAGGCACCACGTCCCCTCCTCTGGCTGGAAAACTTTCTCCCTTCAGGCTCAGAGTGGGGGCCAGGTGCTGCTGGCTGCACTTCAGAAGGGAGAGGAGCTCCTGGGCAGGAGGCAGACGGATCAGTAGTGGGAACTGGGAATCTGGGTCCCAGCAGGGGAAACCACAGTGGTGCCAGGCGGTCTGAGCAGACACACTCCTCTCCCCTGCCCCCAGTCCACTTCCTGGGCATGCAGAAGGAAAACAGCCAGCTGAGTTGCTATTAGAGTGGGCAGTGCCTTCTCACTTCTAACAGTGGTGCCAGGCAGAGACAGCTGTCAGGGAGGGCTGAGCGCGAGGGCAGGGGCAGCTGGGCGTTCGTAGGTGGAAAGCTATTAGCCCACTCCCCTCATGCGCTGTGTGCGTGTAGCCCATTAATGGCCCAACTGTGCTGTCTGCTGTGGGAGAGGTGGCCTGAGTGAGGGAAGTGGGCCTCTGGGGTGACACTGAGTGGGTGCAGGGAGTGGGACTCCCCTTTTGGCAACTAGCAGATTCTCATTACCAGGCTCCTCACCCCACCTGCCTGTCTTTTCCACATGCACTCCCTCCCAAGAGCCCTGCTCCCCACCTGCAGGAACATGAGGACTGTGTCTGTGTGACTCTCGGTAATTCCAGGCACCTAGGCTAAATGCAACCATGGGGTAGGGACGCCCCTGCCGGGATGGAGGCAGGGGGAGGGGTCTTGAGCGTGCCAGGCTTTTTTCGGGGAAAGAGGATCTAGGTCTGGAAAGAAGAGACCTCTCCTAAGGGAAGCTTGACGGACTCTGCAACGACTGGGGGCCCTGGTCTAGCCACCTGTCAGCCTACCTTCCAAGAGACCTTCGAGGAAAAGGTGGACAGAAAGCAAGTGAGAAGCAGAGAGAGCCCCACCAGAGACGGGCGCTGGCAGGCGGGCCACAGAGCAGAGCCTGGCAAGCTGCTCCTCCTCGCCCGCTGGCCTGGCCCCCTAGAAACTTGGGATTTCCTCTGATGTATGAATTTCAGCCCTTTCCCAGTTTAGGACTCTTGGACTCATCCAAGGGGGCGGGTCTAGGACAGATGCTACAGACCGCCCACCCCTGAGCCAAAGCTGAGGGGTGTGTGTGTGCACGTGTGTGTGTACCTCCAGCCTCAGTGTCGGTGGGACACGGGTTGGGTGAGGAGGAGGCAGGTGTTCGTGCCCAACAGCTCTGGTGTCTGGGGAGGAGAGGTGCCCGAGGAAGCAGCTTCTCACAGGGCAGGTTGCCTGGCTCTGTGTTTGAGGAGGTCCTCACCCCTCTGTGGCTGCACTCAGGGTCTGGGGGAGAGGAAGTCCCAGGGCCTTTGGAACTGACGGTCAGGAAACAGCTATCAGCCCCTGGGGAAGCTGGGCTCCTGGGGGTGCTGAGGACAGTCAGGGCAGCGGCCTCTCGTGCTTGCCCTTTTGGGAGGCTCATGGGGGTGTGGGGACTGGATGGATGGACGTGGTCCATAAGCCGCCAGATGGGCTCCTGTGTGGGCAGTGGCTCTGCCGCCCATTGATCTGATCCTGCTTGCCAAGCTCCTGATGGGCAGAGTGGTGGAGGCCCAGGGTAGGATAAGGAGAGGTCAGAGGAGGACAGGGGTGACTTGCCCCTCACGGTAACTGGGTGGGGCTGGGAAGGGGGGCTCTGGTCTGGGAAGGAGACCTCCACAACCCACCCTGCATCATTCCTTAACTCAAATACACTTGCCATCAAAATGGACAGATTACAACTTTGTTAAACCACATGCAAAGGCCGTCCAGATCTGAGAGGGCACATGGGCGTAGGATGATAGCAGCAGCTAGGAGTCGGGCCCCTGGCCTTTCCATCTCCGCCACTAGCTCTCTGGGTGGCGAGCTGGGGAGTCTCAGGCTGGTCACTTCCTGGTCTGGGCCTCTGTCCTCTCACTTGGGGCAGGCACTGGGCAGAGGCCTCTCTAAGGCCTATTGTAGGCCGAAGCCAGAGAGATGAGTCAAGCTCATGAAGAAAAGGCCTAGAGCAGGCACCTTCCCACTACCACTGCCCTTCACCCCTCACCTAACGGAGGCTTCAAGACAACACAGCCCCCCCCCCGCCCCTGCCAGTCATTCTCTTCAAGGTTAGGGCGGGTGTAGGCAGCAAGAAAGCTGAGAGCTGAGCTCATTTCACAGCAAGGGGGACCCAGGGCTTACTTTGAGAGTGAAAAGGTGGAAACGCACATATAATGAGCTCAATAAACCTGAGTTGTACGGTTGAGTGAATGAAATGCCATTCATTGAATGGGTGTGAGCGCGTTGGGCAATGTCCCTCCCGGGGGCAGGGGGCAGGCAGCCTTGTCCGGCACAATCAGGACGAGCAGGCGCTGTCGGAGAGGCAGGGGTGACAGCCCAACGAGGGAGGACATCGACGCAGTGGCCTCTCACCCAGCCAGCTGCTCTGAGTGGGGCCTCAGGAGCAGTGGGGACAGCCCACCTGACAGGGCCACTGTGTGTGAACAGGAGCCACAGAGATCACGCACCTGTAGTCAAAGGAGCCATCCTCTTCTTTGGGGTCTTCGGGGCCGAGGGGAACATCCTTCTTTTCTCTCACTTGATCAATAAGAGAAGCAGACACAGACCTGATGACTAAGGAGTCACGTGCTCTGCAGGGCCCTGATGCACAGCCAGAGGACGCCGCCTTTGGGTTCAGTGACTCTCCTTTCCAATAAGGCACCATCGATGCCTCCCTTATTCTGTTTCCCACATTTAATCAGTTGCCACGTTGATCCTCACCGCCAGGGTTTCCTTACATCCCTGTTGTCAACTAAAATCTCCTCCCACCCAGCTCCCCACCCGACCTCCATGAGGTCTTCCCACCCAATGGCTGTGAGCCTTTCCTGGGCATCTTTCCTGTTCTGCTCTGTATTCTAATTATTTGTGCCTGTTTCTTGTGCCCGTAACAATGCCAGTTCTTTCCTTGAGGGTGGGGAACTATGTGTTTCTTCCAAGCTCCTAGCAAAGCTCTGCCCAGCTCCTGGCCCTGGGCGGAGAGGACCCTCCTGACACACCTGAGGAGTGGAAGGTGCTCTCGTATCTGTGCCCGCTCGTGTTTGTGTGGCTTCCTTTCCCCGTGCCTCCTCTGTGATTTGTAAACACCCACCCAAGGCCCTGTCCTGTGCTGTGACCTCCCTTCTGTGCTGGCTGCAATGTCCTTGAGGAGAGACCATCTTTCCTCCTGGTGTCCTTACACCCAGCACGGACCCTGGCGCACCGCAGACACGTACAAGAATGACTCCTTACATATCCTTTTTGAGGTACAAGGCAGGATAATCGCCCCCGTTTTAGATGAAGGAAACTGAGGCCTTGAGAAGTAAAGAACATGTCCCATAACTAATGAGTAACTGAATGGAGCCCAGTGACTGCTGGAGGCCAGGCCTCACGGGTCCTGGTCCACTCAGGCTTCTAACGGACTGGGGGCCAACCCGGGAGTGGAGGGAAGGAGCTTACTCTAAGGAGAACTTCCTGGAATGGGACACTTTCCAAAGGGACAAGGAAGGCTCCAAGTTTCCCTGATGAGTCCTTTGGTGTCCCAGTTCCACCTGGAACAGGGGGTGTGCTCAGTAAGGCTGCCCTTCCCCCCAACTCTGGCTTTTTCTCTCACAAAAGAAAAACAGTCCCACACAGCACAACAGAGTGACAGAAAACATCACTCACCAAGAAGGAACCAGAGTTCCCTGCCCTCCCTCCCAGGGGCTTCCCTCACTTACAGGAGAGGCAGGACCCTTCGAGTCCTGGGGTTTAAGAGTACCAGGGCAGGGAAACGAACCAGTCTCCTGGCTCTCTGAGCTGAGTTTTAGGGGGATCCCGGAGGAGGAGCTGTTCATAGAGACGGGAGAAGCAGGCGTTTGGGGAGCATGGGGTGGGTTTGGTGATGGGCTTGGGGCGCAGGGAGCAATTTCAGCCCGCAGTTGGCAGGACATCACTCTCGTCATCCATAATCCTGTCTCCTGTCACCCTGCCCACCCCAGCGCAGACGGATGGCTTTCTGGCCCCTGTCTGAAAAACAGTCAATATTTCCAGAAACAGGAATGCCAGAGGCCCTTGTCATTGACCTTGGATGGTCTGGGCCAGAGAATCCCGAGGCCCACGGAAGAGAACGCCTCTGTGGCACTCTAGGGAAGCCTAAAGCCCTTTAAGGACCGAGGGGTCCCTGTCAGTCACCCCTCAGCCTCCGCCCGCTCCTCACGTAGGAGCTTCTGACCTGTAGCGGATGTGTGATTACAACCGCGTCAGCTGAGAGCCCAGCTCTGCAGCCCCCTCCAGATCTCTCCTTGCCCCGTTCTCTCTCACGGTGAGAGGAGACGCCTCTCTCCCCTCCTCCTCCCCTGGAACACAGGATCCTAATGAGATTTGGGCTGGAAAAGGCCAATTTACTGGGCAGATGGGCGGGGAGGGAAGGTCACTCCTAATAGGAGTCAGGGTTCCTTCCCTCCCCTCGCTGGAGCTGCCGGGACCGCGATCCTCCCACCTCAGGCGAACTTAACTCAAGTGCTTTCTGCCAGCTCTAAGATGCACACAACAGGCAAGAGAACCGAATCTCCAAACTTGCCAAGGGTTGGGCTCCCTGAAAGGACAGAGCCCCCGGCTCTGGCTGGGGACCTGGTGACTCACAGGACAGCTTGCCGGCCCAGGCTCCCAGCCCGCTCCTCGACACAGCTTACCTGGGTACTTGCCGCCTCGACTCCTCTTGATGAAGCAGACGATGAGCAGAATCAGCACCAGGAGGGCGACGGCGCACATGAGCCCGATGAACCAGCCCTGCGTGGCGATGTCAGCCTGGTTGTTGGTGTAAGCTGGCAGGGAGGGCCAGAAGCAAACACGGCAGTGATTCACATGGCAGAAGGTTGAGGGGGAAGGGAGGGGAGAACTTCAACTATTTCACGTTGATGTTCCTCCTGGAGCCTAACGCTACCACCTTGCAGCCCTCTGGCCCACACTACCCCACTACAGGGTCAAAGGACATAATTAAAGAGCCAAGGTCAAAAGGTCATAAAAGAGGCAAAAGAAAGGGGTACAAGGAGCAGAATAAGCAGCAGAAGGCTGACAGGAGCTTCAGGAAGGGGAAGTTTCCTAGGGTGAGACAGGGCATCCTCGCAAGCCAGGGGCTGGTCACAGTGGCGGGGATCGAGGGGAGGCCAGGGATTGGCCATGGAGGAACGTTCCTCATGAATGAGTGACGGGTGAGGAAACAGGAGCCTACATGCCACCCATCCAGGAACGGGGCTGTGGTCACACTGCAAAAATCTGTTATAAGACTGTCTTCACAGGCCTGCACAGGCCCAGAGCACCACCCTCTCCCACCAGCACGGCCCCAGAGCCAACCAGGCCCTCCTGGCAGTGGTCCTGGGGGGGGGGGGCGCGGTTCCAGGATGCCCCGTGCTTTCTCATGTGTCCCCTGCTGGACTGCGCACTCCCCGACAGCACAGACAATCCTTCGTGTGCACCTCCGGACCAGCGGCGGCGAGGGCGGGGCCAGGGCCGTGCCTGCAGCACACCCCGTGCCACCTCCAGACCACTTCCACACGTGGAGAGCCCCAGTCCCTGCCTAGAGTGTGTGGAGGCCTGGCTCAAAGTGGGCAGACCCCTTCGTGATCCGAGGGGCACGCGGGTGGGCCTAGAGGACAGACACTCAGCGGCATCTGATGGTGTCCTGGACGACCTGACAGCTGGGCTTAGGGCTCGGGAGGGGGTGTGGGAAAGGTAGGAGCCACTTGCTTCTCTCCTTTCTATGGTTGGGAGAATGAAAGTGACACCCCCTGAACTGCAGCCTGCCATGGACACCAAGCCTCGGAGGAGTGGAAGGATCAGAGGAACAGATCAGACCCCAAGTCCCCGTGGAGCCAGCCGAGTGAGCCAGGTGGCCTTTGGGAGAGCCAGACAACAGCGGGCCCTGCGAGCCTGCAGAGCCAGAGCCCAGGCCGGGGCCTCCTCCTGGGGAGAGGCACGAGGAACAGAGGGGCTGGGTCCACTGTGCTCCAGGGTCGTCCCACACGCCATCGTGTGGGGCAGGTATCCGGGTGCAATCCTGTCCCGTGGTCTTCTTGGGTGAGAAACTGTCTTCACAGCCTTCCTAGCACCTCACCAAGGGCAGTGCACCAAGAAGGGTCTCAGTCAACAGTGAGGACCAACGAGCAAGTGCTGTCGTGCCCTCCGTGCTCTGGCTGCCCGGGGTGGCCCGGGCTGAAAAGCAGCTGCGTCCCCGAGAACCTGGCTTGTGACTGCCTTGCTCCGTGCCTGCTGTGGAGGGTTCCATGCCTGCTCCCACTCCTGCTCCCACAGGCCATGCCCCACATGGTGTCACAGCCTCCCAAAACCACATGGGATCAAAGCACCCTCCAATGCTTCTCCTTGCTGTTGGGGAAAGACCTGTTAGGCTGCATCCGAGTGGGCCCTGGCCGCCTCTCTAGTCCGTCAGCCACAGCGCTCTCCACAGTCTCTATACTCCGGCCTCACTGGCCTCTGTCATTTCTGCCTCAGGGCCTTTGCATTTGCTGCTCTTTCTGCAGATGGCTGCCTTAGCAAATGCCACCTCCTCCTCAGAGAGGCCTTCCCAGACTTTCCCAGCTACATCTGACACCCCCTCCCCAACAAGGGCTCTGATATCTTCTTCATAGCACTTGTAACCGTTTGATATAGTACTACTACCAACTGTTTACACTCATGAGTACTTCCTGTGGGCTAGGCACTGCTCTAAGGACTTTCCCACCCTGCGTCTAATTTAATCCTCACAACCCCATAAGGTGGGTTTTTATTATTACCCATTTTACAGATGAGGAAACTGAGGCACGGAGAGGTTAAGTGATTTGCTCAAGGCCACAGAGCTAGTGAGTGGTAGAGCTGAGACGTGACCCCAGGCTGGCCATGCTCTTTACCCTCCACTCTCGTCTCTCCACCCAGAAAGCAAGCTCCTTGAAGGAGGGACTGTCTCCCTGGAGCTGGGATAGAGCCGTACACACGGGAGGCACTCGATTCACACCTACTCAGCAGATGAACCCTCGATTTCCTTCCCTTCATTCGTCCACTCCCCCTCTCTTGGCCTGAGGGGCCCTCTGCTTGTCTTAAACGCCACACTGTCCCCCTGTGTGTTCCCCATTCCAGCATGCAACTCACTCCCTGCTGTGGTCTCCGTGGCGATGCCTGCATTGTCCTGCTCCTGCCATGAGCCCTGCTGGAGGAAGACACAGACCCAGGCCCATCACAGACTCACCGGGTCACACTTCAACTGGTCTCTCGCTGCTGCCTGGCAATCCTTCTGCTCCTCTCACTGTCCCTCCAGCACCGCTCCTCCCTCCCTCTCGTGCTGCTCCCCCATTACCCTCTCCCCTCATCGGGCTGGCGGTTGACCTCACCTACCTGACTCTGTCGAAGGCTGAAACCTCACAGTCTCCACAACTGTCCCTTCCTCCTGGGTCAGAGAGGGCTCTCCTCTTCTCTGAGGCTATTCCTGCCTTAGCTGTGGGACCCAATGCCTCACTTCCTTGATGGCTCAATCCTGTAAGGATCTCCGAACTCTCTAGCATTTTCAATTTCTTTCTCTTTTCGGTCTGCCCCCTTCTGCTGTTCAACACGTTGAAGCTTCCTGTATCTTCACACAGAATCCCTTGAGGAACCCCCCAGACTTCTCAGCTCTAGCTCATGTACTGTCCTTTTACGGGTAAACTCCTTAATCTTCCATTGTCTCCAGTCCCTGCCAACTCCTTTCTCCACCCAACAAGCTAACTTCAAGCCCTTCTACGCTCAGTGCTTCCACCACCATCACGGAGTGGGTCTTTCCCAAACCTGCCTCTCCACCCTCGGCTCTTGACTTCTTACCTGTCCTCCAGTCCTGACTCTCCGAGAGGCAATCCCTTTATTCATCCCTCCTCTCATCCCTCCTCGTCCCTCCAGCCACATGCATACTGAGCCCAGCACTTCCTCCTAACATCTCCTTGGATGGCCTGTTGTTTGAAATTCAACATGTGTCTGCCTGCTCCCCCGCCCCCGCTTCTGCCAGTGGCTTCCCCATTCGTCCCATCTCTAACGGTTAATGTTTCTCCTTCCAAAATGCCTCTTGTGGTCACCTCACTGCTCCATTCTAGAGGGGTCTCCTCACCCTATGCCTATCAGATCCCAAGGATACCATGACACATTATGTTCCTGGGACACTTGCGTCATGCTGGCCTTCCATGCGCTCCCGTCTTCCCCTCCTGCATCTTTCCTACCATGCCCAGGAGAGCCTGCACTGCGCCCGTCTTGCTCTCCCTCCCTACATTCTGCCCTCCTTCCTCAATCTCCCATTCCTCCAGCTCACACCAGTTTCTGAACTCTGATTTCACCCCGTTACTCCATGCAACCTAACATTTAATTGCTCCATTTCCTGGCTTCTGATTTCAACTCTACTATGAAAGGATTGAGAACAGGGGATTCTTTGAGCCCTGAGTACTGAGCACAATGCTGGTCACATGACAAGTGGTCAGTGACTACTTACTGATTAACAATCAGTTTAATCCCCATAAAATATGGTTAACCTGGGCTATGGCTTTTGTTTTTCCTCAATACCCACTAGGGGTCAAAGGGATATTGGCTTGACTGTGCGCCACCCCTGGGCCCTGGGATGAAAGGACCACTTCAGCTTGTGTGTGGATGGTGCAGAGAGGCTGGTGTGCAGGTCTGTAGCGGCCTGTCTGCTCCACCATCTTCCTGACGTGTGTTCTGATATGCCCTGACCACCGTCTCCACAAGACTCCCTTCTCTTGGGAGAGAAAGTCACAATTCCAGGGCAAGTGGCCATATGGGCAATCTAGGAAGCAATGTAGGTTTCCATGGTGGTGTCAGGACAGCACCAGTGAAGTTCCAATGTTACCTTCAGTCCTTACTGAAAAGGTCAAAGAATTTTCTGTGAAGTGTGGACACGGAAGGCTGTTCAAACCAAGTGGGACAGGGGGTAAGGTGGCCTCAACCAGACCCCATCAAAGTGAAGTAGCTTGTCAAGAACCACAAGAAATTGAGGACATGATGATCTCACTCACAATGCGCCCCTCCACGGTGGACTCTGAGAGGCAGAAGCATCTTAGCAGGGCTTCAGGGCAGTCATGTTTGGCTGCCAACACCACGCTTAGTCGATCTGTTCAACATGTCTCAAGACTCCTAATGGACACGGCAACGCCAACATTCAAAGACCGGGGTGCACTCACACTCCCCACCTCCTGCTGGAACCGGCCTGAGCCAGAATAGCACCCGCTCGGCAGTCCCCCAGGCCTGGCAAACAGCTCCGATGCCTCTCACTCTGTGCCTTCCACACCACCCCCTACACTCCGGTTCAGAGATGGGCAATGCCCATGCCTCCTGCCTGCAATCAGAGGAATTGGGTCTGGTCACAGAAGAGAGACCAGTCATTCAGCATCGGCAGAAGAATACTATTTCAGATATAGGCAAAGATGAACAAACATAACGGGGACAGACTTTCTTCAAACGCAGTCTGGCTTGGCTGCCTCACTTCAGCATCATTTTACACCTCTCTGTCCCCACCTCGTCCCATCCTGGATTTCTCCCAAATACAGCAGAAAGAGGCTATGTTAGGTCCCCTAATGTCCCTCCTTCCCCCTTCCTGAGGTCTGAAGCAGGTGGTCGCCTGTCTCACTGGCCCACCATCAGCGTCCATCATGTTGCTGCCTCACCCCAGCCCGCCACCCAGGACCTGTGGGAGTCCAGGGTGATGTGTCTGCAACCCCTCAGGTCTCTTTGGCATCAAAAGCTTCAAGGAGCTGATTAAGTTCCCATGTGGGATCTTTCTAGGGAGTATCAGGGAGACTTTAGCATTCTCGGTGGCTTCCTTCCGTTTCCTTTCTGAACGACTGCAGCATGTTTGAGTCTGTGGACTAAAGGGATGGCCTGTGGTTGCCTACATGAAAAGTGGTTGGGCCCAGAGATGCTTACAAACTCTTGCTTTGATGAGACACAGGGACCTAGGCGATTGTGTGAACCCGGCTCTGGGATCCACCCACAGGAAACACTGTGTATTTTTGAAGGATCTGGACACACACTCACAGGCACACACAAACTTCAGAAAGTGAAAATATTTTCTTTCCCTATGTGGTTTGCACATAGAAATTTCCAGCGAGCCAGTGAGGGAAGTGAGCCGTGTGCACTCAGAGCTACAGTCATAAACTTGCCCACTCCAGCTCGCAGTGGGAGGAAGCCAGGAAAACTCTAAGTGCCGAGAGGCTCGCTCACCCTGAAAGCAAGCTATCAGGGTCAGCCTCCCGAGACCAACCGCAGGAAAAGAGAAGCGAAGGCTTGAGTCAATATTGAGAGGGTATTCCCCAATGTCTCTGTTTTTTTCTGTACTGTGTTTTTGATACCCTGCTGTGGACTGGGACATCCTTGTGGGCAGGAACTGGTCCTTTTCTCTCTGGCTCTTTCTCCCCAGTCCTCACCCATAGCCCCCGGGCTTAGCGCTGGGAGAGGCCTGACTCTGCAAGTAGGCTGTGTTGGCTCTTGCAGCACTCCATAGGATAGAACGCGATCCTCGAGTCCCATCCTTGCTTCCTGACTGTGCTGGATGCAGGTTTGTAACGCAGAAAGCCAAATGCACGCACTGGTGAGCAACAGCTTGGGACCCCAACTGGGTGAGACAGAGTCCAGCCACCTGCTCCACTTGGTCAACTGTCTAGTTCCCTTGCCTGGCTCCCAGGATGGCCTGGCCAGCCTCAAGCAGGCAGCTGGACTCTCAGACTCCCTGAGTCTTAATGGCATGGACATCTATAGGACAGGCGGAGACACAGGGAGGAGGACAGGACGTCCAGACCAGGAGGGACCAGGCTAGAAGGGGTGGAGTGAGATTTATACGGATGGGCAGTTACTCTCAAGACGGCAAGCTACCAGGACCAGCCTCAGCAGGACAGGCACAGGGAGAGTAATGAACATTTAAGTCAACATTCAGAAGTTCATATAAATCATTGTGTGTTTTTTTCTCCATCCTTGTGTCCACTAACCTCCATCTGATTAGCACATCCCTAGGGGCAGAGACTGGTCCTCTTCTCTCTCTGTCTCTTTCCCCCACCCTCACCTTTAGCCCCAAGGCTTAGCATACACTTGGCCAGCCCGCCTGGCTGATTTTAAAGATGTACACAGACAAGCAAGTGCCCTCACGTTCCCATCGTGCCAGCCACACCGACCAGCAGAGATTTCTGAACCTTGTGCCCTTTACTGAGGCCCAGGCAGCCTGTTCATTTGGCACAACGAAGATACTTCTCCATCCACAGCTGAAGCCCCTTTAGAGCCAGAACTCTTCCAATGCTAGAGAGCTCCTTCTCCTCTCCAGTACAACAAAAGGCCAACTACTTTTAAGCAGTGACAAACTTGGGACAAAAATTAAATCAAAACAAAGCCCCAAACAACTTGTGTAACACACTTTGGAATTTTTTAACAACAGATGACAATGGCAAGGCAGTGACATACATGCTGATCCTCGGTTTGGTTCCTGGGGAGATTTCTGAGTCAAGACCCTTGGGTGATCCTATCCCCTCATCCCACGTGCAGTAAGCAAGCCCCTGTGCCCACGGGGCGGGCTGTACTGCACTCAGCAGCCCCCAGACTCACACACAGGGACCAAGTTTGCACATACACCAAGCCCTTTTGTTTCACGCACTGCGGGGGCCAGGCGGTCTCCTCTCTCCTCATTCTACAATCCCCGCATTTCCTCTGACTCCCCACTCATCCCCACAGGGTCAGAGCAGGGTTTCCTCTCCACTGTACATGCACTTCTGGCTCCTCTCGTCTTCCTGGGAGCTGCAGCCTGACACACACTAAGAGCTGAGACACGCCATGCAAGGTGAGGAATGGTGGGGATGAGCCTTCTTTCCAAGAAGAGACAAGCAGGACGCTGAGAATGAGAATGAACTGCCCCATGCTTGTAGGGGATGGCCAGGCCAGATCCCCTCTCACCTGTACTGGTCATAAAGGTGATGACGGTACTGCTGATGCCCTCGTTGTCCCGGGAGTAAACTCGCAACGTGTATGTCATCCCGGGATAGAGGTCTGTTAGCTGTATAGGCTGGGCCTGGGCCTTAACAGGGAGAGTTTTTTTCGTATGGTTGCCTGGGGAACAGAAACCTCAGTCAGCCTGGGCCAGGCACAGGAGCCGGAAAGGCAGTGCTTGGGTCCTGGCCACCTGTCGAATGTAGATGCATGGGGGAAGGGCCAGGGGCGGGGGCCAGGCCGCGCAGGCCAGGAGGTCACCAGGCAGCTCCACCACCAGCCCTTCCACGCAATGCTGACTCTCCTACACGACGGCCCCCAGCTCAGGACACTGTCCCTCTCCCAAGGTTTTCTTTCCTCACCACAGTCTTAGCACTAAACATATCACAACCTACTTGCTTACGCTCTCAGCGTGTCAGCTGCCAGCCGACGCTCTTGTTATCCTGGAGAGGGGCAGAGAGCCGGTCAGTACCCCTCATGGTAACTGGAGGAGCCCGCTTCTCGGCTCTCACTCCTGGTGTCATCTTTCCTTTCTCAGCACGCGGGGAAGTCACCGCATCAGGGCAAATGAGTGCCTGTGTGTCAGGGGTGTAGTGTGAATGGTGCTGGGGGGAAGCTGGAAAAGTATGGACCAAACTAGGGATGTGGAGTCTGTGGATGGGGAATCCCCCTCCAACCACAGAGAGCTGAGAGCTGGCTTTGTTCTTTCCTCAGAGCTGGTCGAGTGGCTAGCCCAGGGGGAACTCCCAGCGGGTTAGCTGGCTTAATTGCTTAGAGCACATGACAAAGAGGCCTTGTGGTGGGTGTGACCCTCAGGAGCAGGGGCCTGCACTCAGAGAAGGCAGATAGCCTGACCACACTCTCCAGTCTGACAAATCTATACTCTTGGTCCTAAGATCCAGTAGGGTGAACAGCTCAGCTCAAGCTGCCATCTCTGATTAATGACCCTGGTCTGTCTCTGACTGTGGGCCACTAGCGTCCCTCTGTGAGCAAAACACAGTTGTACCCCAACTCTGAACTGGCCCAGCCTGTCTAGTGGAGACCCCAGGAAACATGGATTCTGAGTTAAGGAGATCCACTCAGAAGGGGGATTGGGCTCATTTGGGGGCTATTCAGAAGTCTCATCCTGGGCAGGAAGTGGATGGAAGGCCCCACTAACCAGGCCCTCCCCAGCACACAAAGCCCTAGACCGTCACTAATGGCTTCAGAAGCCCCTTCCTTTTCCTTGAACCTGCTCCTCCCACCTCACCCCTGCCTGAGCACGGATCGATTTCATTAAGCTGTAATTAGGCCAGGCTAAGAGGCCTCTCCCAGCCTGAGGGAGTTGACAGGATTGCTTTAATGGCATCTACGCTACCCGCCGCAGCTGCCACCGCCGCCACCACCACCCCGCACAGCAATGCTTACTGTCGATGTACTCAACCACAAAGTCAGTTCCCGGCCCGAAATTGTGCTTCCAGGTGATGTTGGCCCATTTACTGTTGGGGAGCACCGTGACGTTCCATATGGACTGCTCGTCAGGGGCTGGCGGGCGGGTTAGAAGAGGAGTTAGTGGTGAGGAGGGAGGCAGTGCCAGACGGACACACGGATGGACGGACGGACGGACGGACACACACACACACACGGGCAGCTAGGAAAGGGTAGAGCCAGAGGTGGCTGTGCATAGGGCCCGACAGAGCTCCAAGCTGCAGCCTTGGTGGCCAGGCTAGAGGTCGCCATCCAGGTGTGAGCAAGTGCGGTCAGGGGGAGCTGTATGTGAGCGAGAGCTGGAAACCGTCTGTGTGCCACACAGCTGGGGCTGGAATGAGAGTGGGTTTCAGTGCATGCCACCGATGGCTTTCACCTGGGCTTACTCCCTTTTTAGATCCCTTGTCATGGATTTGAACGCTGCGGTGAAAGGGGCCAGGAAAAGGCCCCGGCTAGGAGTGAAAGGGGCCAGGAAAAAGCCCCGGCTAGGATGCAAAGGGGGAGAGGGAGAGATGTGCCAGCCTCTTTCCCTTCAGCTACAGATGCTCTACAGGCAGGAGAGAGGTCTCTTTAAAAGCCACTCGAGAGTCAGGGTGAGATTTGCAGGAAGGACAGGACCAAACATGGGAGAGCCTTAGTGGACTCCTGAAACTGGAGAACGGTAACTGAGACGGGTGACTCTGGTCTGAGGAGCCCCTGGGGTCATTCTTGGTCACCAAGATTCTGGATTATGTGGAAAATGGCCTCAGCTTGTCTAAGGGGGCTTGGGGCCTAGAACGCCAGGGTCTCAAGTAGAGACAGTATGAACCCTTCGTCTCCCTCTCATGGGCCAGGTGGGACCAAGAGAAGATAACTCCTTCTTGACACCCAACCCTCAGTGGTCTGGACACCAGAAAAATCCTGTTCTGTTGGCTTCCCAGCACTACCATCTTTGAGGCTTGATCTCCGTGCAGCACAGAAGACATTAATTATCTCGTTCCTATGAGCTGGGAGCCACTTTATCAAAGCCATCGTGCCGTCTGAAACCATAGCCTGTGGACAGGAGAATGGCTCTAATCTTCAAACGTAATCATTTTTCACGAGTCCCAGCAGTCTGATTACCCCATTTCCCAGCAAAGATTTAATAGTGGAGTACTAGCATGAAGCCTTGTATTTCAAAGACTTTACAAGTGTGGCTCCTGTATATTTTATTAGCATGCAAGGAGGCACTGTCACCAACTCACTTGTCAAAAATAAATGAATAGAGTACACTGGCAATGCATTTATTCATTATCTATTTGACATGTGATTGAGTCTGCAGGGCTGGAGAAGTGATAAAAGATCTCCTGGTCTTCACTTCAAAGTGCGTTCTCGACTACAACCACAACCGTGTCAGTTGCCAGGTGCCCCAGATGAATACAATTCATGTTAGGTGCAGGGCCAAGAAAGAGATTGGACTGATGGCGCCATAGGGCGTTCTCCATGGGGAGGGCAGAAGGTAGCTTCTTTACTTATCTGCCGCATGTTTCCATTGTACTGGTTGCTTTAAATCACCCCCACGCCCAGCTCCTTGGAATCTCATGGCTCTTGCTAGTGGGAATGAATTAAGATTGGTCATGATTTGGGGACTTGAGTTTCTTTTTCCTCAGCTCTGGGCCCTGGAAATAGCCAGAGAATTTAGGTTTAAACAGTTTGACCAGCAATACAATACTGACCCAAATCTGACTGTCTTAAAGGTAACAGAGACTGCGGCACTGTTAGGCAAGGCCAGGCCGTGGGAAACCAAATGACTTAGAGGCGGGAGACAGAGGAAGGCACTGCCATCGAGAGACCAAGAGAGCGGCCACTGAAGAACTGAACAGTTCAAAGAGGAGAACTAAGAAGGAGAGCTATCAACTACTCTAAAACAAAGAGGGCAAGAGAAGGGAAGCATGGATTGTTCTGCTGCTTCCTGGAATGTGAGAATTAGGGAGTATTCCTTGAAATCTGAGACAAGCTAAGGACAAATAAAAAGTCCCATTTCATCCTGAAAAAAGTAAACTTAGGAAAAGTTTTGTCCTAAGATGTAAGGCATGATAAAGATGAGAATTGACTTTAAAATCTAGGACAGCAGAGCCATTCTGGTATGTCAAGGGAAGAGAGGATGTTGAGGGGTGTCCCCAAGCTCTAAGGACAAGACCAGGGGCATGGCCAGTCTCCACAGCACCTCAGGCACAGTTAGAGGGCGGGTGTGACAGTCCGGGGGACTAGTCCTATGTGGCACCAAGGCCCACCTCTCCAGAGGGCAAGTAACTCCGCTGGGAGCAAGAGCCACTGCCCTCCTGCATTCTCGTGCGCCCGTCTCTCCTGTAACCTCAAAGCAGTAAGACGGGCCACGGAGCCCTGCTGTAACGCACAAGACGCCTCAAGGCGGCCCCCAAGAACGCCGTCAACACTCTGCGGGTGGCAGCTTCTAGCAGCCCGGCGGGTGTCTCCTCAGCCAACTTTCTCCTGAGTGCATCTTGTAAATTCTAGACATTGCATTTTTAAAGCACATCAGCGTTTCCAGGACCAAGGAGCACAGGGTCAGCTCCACATCACCTGTCTCCCTACAGCTCACATGGCTCCATGGAACGGAATTAAAGGACATGCTCGCGCCCACATTAAGCCTCCATCCTCATTCAGGTGCTGAGAGAAGTGGGGCGGGGTGGGGGAGAGTGAGGCCTCGGAAGGTGGAGGGACTCGCCCAGGAAACAGACAGGGCCCACAATTCTACAGCTGCTTGAGGAGGGTTCTGGGTGCTTCCCGCCAGCCCTGCTGGCTGCATCATGCCGATTTTACAGCTGGCCTGTGGATTCCGCAAGCTAGAGGCCCTCCCCTCCCCGGTAATAAAAGACTGTTTGAGGCTCGCTTCTCAGAAGTATCACTGGATTCCCAAGGGCTCTCCTCATGCTGGAAGAACAGAGCTTCCTGGCCTGGCTGCAGGATGCAGAAACAGCACATTTTCCGGGTTCAGCAGGCCAGCCCAGGGTTGATTCTTACAAGGTCCCCTAGAAAGGCTGCGACTCCCCTCCATGTGTGCATCTGGGGGCACAGGGAGTAGGAGTGGGCAGAGCAACAAGCACCTTCCGGCAGTACGGGACTCCCGGAGGACTCCCTGGCGATACAGTTTCCTGGAAGCTCTGACTTTTTAAAGTCTGTAAGTGTGCCTTGGAGGGAGAGGGGGCAAGGGAGGAGCAGGGTTCTAGGAAGGAGCATGGTCAGCCAATCCCCACTCCTCAGCCCTCTATGCTGCAAGGCTGGATGCGACATGGTCGGGGCAGAAAGCCTTCTCGGCTGGTGTCCAGCGTCAGGCCCTTTCCTTCCCCATCTCTCCCACTTCCGGAGCGCTCAGCCCTGAGCCGCCTGCTCGGCATGTTGCTGGAGGCAGCCCTACCATCCGGGACCTGGGGGCCCTGCCTGAGGAGTGGGGACCTCTGCTCAAGAACAGGGATCTGAGGCTAGGAGGAGGGGTATAGAGTGGAGAACCACCAAGGAGTGGGGCGGGGGTGCTCCGTGCCTCCAGGCTGCCAGACTGAGAATCCAGTCATGCGTGTTTCCACAGCAGAATCAAAGGGAGGCGTTGGCCGGCACCATCCCAGATGCCCCCTCCTATCTGGGGAAGCCTGCGGGTGGGGGGACGGGGAGCGTGGACAACGGGCAGTACCGGATTCGTGTATCTTAGTCCCGGTGGTGGTGGGAGGACTCTCCGTGGTGGTGGTGGTGGCGGCAGTGGCTGTAGCAGCTGTGGCGACGGTGGTGGTGGCGATGGTGGTAGGTGCGACAGTTGGGATGATGGGGCCTGTTGTGGCTTCGGTGGCGGCAGCAGTGGCAGTAGCATCGGTACTGCTCACAGCGCCCGTCGCACCCACCGTAGTCGGGGGCAACGTGGGAGGAGCTGAGAGGGAAATTAAAACAGCCGAGTCTGGTTGGTTTGGCTGCCCCCAGCCTGGACACACGGCCCCGCGTGCAAGGCAGGCAGCCCGGTGAAGACACGGCGCTTAGTAATCAGAAGGCTCCCCAAGCGTCACGGACCCAGTCGGATGGATCACAGCGCGAGACAACACAGCCACAGCAGCGGAAGAGAATGAAGCCCCGTGTGTTTCATTTTCTTCTCACAGGCTCACAGCACCCAGCATGCAGCCAGCCAAGGGCGAGGATGAGGATGGGAACTGCTCAGACCCCAGGGACAGCAAGGAGGCCCAGGCCACGCAGCACCACTTGGATCCAGCCCTGGAGCCCTGGCCTTGGAAGTGGGCAGCGGGCGGGCCCTGTCCTGCAGGAGCACCAGGAAGCCTGCTACTCCCAACCATCCGCTCCAAAATTACCCTCTCTCGTGCCTGCTTGGGTTCCACCACCCACACCCAGCGGCCACACTGCGGGCGGGCCTCCCTGCCTCCACTGCCCACCCTCTCCCCAGGTTCTCAGCTCCTCTTGTCTATTCCCCTGCCTCTCCTCCCTTCTCTTCTGCCCAGTGATGGTCCTTCCTGCAACTTCCCCATCCACCCTGACTTGTAGTGACCGCCTTTCTCTCTAGGACATTTGGGGTCCCGGCACCCCAAGTTTTTTCCCTTTGCCTTCGAATGTGGGAAAGGCACACTGATGGAATCGCAGCACGGCCTGTGCTCAGTACCACCTGATCTTCCCAGCCCACAGGAGACGCAGAAATCCCAGGATGCGAGTGAGATACACACTTGGGCTTCTCTTTTGCATAAATCTTCAGGGAGGGTCAAATCTGTGCCAACTCTCACGTCCTCATCTCCCATCCAAAGCCACCCTTTGACATCAGTGAGCCTAGGGGACAGTCTATATATGTGACAACGTTTCCATAGGCCCTCCTTCCTTGTATAGAAGGATCATGGAAGTTAACAAAGGGCTGTCCTATTACTCTTGAGCGCCAATATTGCTAGAGCTGAGGGTGTAAGAAGAATGATAGGGCAAATGAGAGAGCGAGCGAGGCGCCTGTCCTTGCACTCCATCTCCTGCGGTCTGATCACGGTCCACTTGCTGGTGTTGATGCTAATGGGGCATCAGGCTGGGATGTTAAGACATAAGTAGGCAACTTAATTCCCAAAGGATATCGACATCCCACCCTATCTCAAATCTCCAGAAGCTCAGGAAAATAATATCCCCACCCCTCAGGAGGAGGCCAGGGCAGGGAGGAAGCCACAGAGAGAACTGCCAGAAAGCTTTTCTCAGGGAAGAATTAAGAGATCCTAAGCCTTCTCAACAAGAGCCTGACCAACAAAAGCCCTTTCATTCCCCTGGGCCTCCAATATTACAAGTCCCCCACAGAGAAGGAGGGACAGTCCCTGGGATCCCAGTCGCCTCCCTGTTTGTAAGATCAAAGGTGTTGTTGGGCCCTGAGGGTGACACACAGAAGGCACACTGGGCAGCTGGCTGTGCCCCACGCATTCCAGAGATTCCTGAGCAAGGTCAAAGCAGACAGGGCTTATTCCCCAGACCCCGGTCCACGCACAGGAAGGTGTAGGGGTGTGGGGTGGGAACAACTCTCCCTCTCATAGTCAGCATTCAAGGATGTGTTTCAGCCCAAGGCGGCCCCAGGCCTGGAATGTAAACTCAGTGCCGTGAAAGCTCAGTACGAGGGAATCGCCCATTCCACCCACCAACACAGGCAGGCGCACACGTGCACACACGCAGCAAGGCCTGAGTGTATTTTCTAATAATTTCTGGCAAATGCAGTGTTCACAGGCCCCCTTTTGCTATGACTATTTAAAAGGCATCATCAAAAAACACTCCCTTTTAACTTAAATCATCCCCTCTGTGTAGTGCACAGACCTGGCTTCCCTTCCTACACGCACAGGGGTGTTACATTTCCCAGGCCCCTCGAATCAATGTCAATTTTCCCCAAACCTATACACACTCTCACATGCCCCTTGGTCCTCATACAAACAGAGATACACACACTCACACTTACACAGGGCCCACAGCCAGACTCACACACGCTTCCCTGGGCATTCCAGTGAGCAGCCCTAGAACCAGAGATGCTGAGAGGGGCTAGGTTAGAGCGAGTCTCTGCCTGGGCCCTGCTGGTCAGAGCCAAGAATGAGAAATGACTTTGAGGATGCTTCCACACAGTCTTGCCCCTCCCTCTGACGGTCCCTTCTGCCAAGCGAGACAGGAAGGAAGCCTTTCTTTCCGCTGATGGCTACCTGGGTGCCCTTCCTCTGGCTCAACGGCAACAGTCTCAGGGTCTTAGTGAGAGGGCACAGAGGGGAGTGAGAGAAAGGAGTCACTTCCCTGGCGTCCTCCCAGAGGGTGCCCATCATTGGAATCACTGTGGAGGATACAACCTTAGCTGGCTGAGGTCACGGCTGGGGGGTCAATATTCTCTCTGGCTCTCATTAGCTGTGAATATTGTCCCTCGGCTGGACACGCCAAGAGAGACAGGGAGGGAGAGGCAAAAAGGCAAGGCTCTGAGGGAAGGGACAGAGGAGTCGGGTGAGCGAGTAGTTAGAGGCTCGTACAGGTAGCAGGGGAAGGCAGGTTCTCCACGGGACAGTGTCCAGTGCTCAGGTCAAAGGGGACTCTGGGTGATTTCATCCCCAGGCGTGGGGTTGGGGTAGCAGATAGAAGGAGAATAAGGCCCAGAAGTGGGCTTATAAACAGAGTGGCCCACAGGCCGGACAGACACATTGCTGGGCTAGGATCTCATCTCCAGCCACAGCAGGAACTATGGGCTGGAGAGGCACCTTGGTCAGTGCTCGGTGGAGACCACTGGCCTAGCAACCAAGAATCAGGGGCTCCAGGGTGGGCCTGGAGCTGGAAGCACAGTGTCAACCTAATGGGACACTGGAAGGGACTCCAGCTGCGGCCGAGGGTTTCCCACCAGGGTTCCCGGGAGTGCCACATAGCAGATGGAGAAATGAGGAGAGAGAAGACATGTCTCGTATTCATCTTTCTGACCCCAGAACCTGCCATGGAGCTGCCCACCAACCATTTGCAGATCTGAGCTGAGTCAAAGACAAGCACAGCAGTTTCCAGACATTCCAAGGTAGAAGTTCAGTCCAAAATGTTCACATGGCACATGGACTACCCTGGCCAAATCACAGATGGGCAGCAATCCTGAGACTGTAGCTCCAGGTGCACGGGAGAGATTATCTTCACTGGGTGAGATATGAACAGATCAGTTTGGGGAAAACCTGCCCAGGTTTGGAGAGGATAAGAGGGAAGGGAGCAGTGGGCCGGACACCAGGCCCACATCAAAAATGTGGGGGCGCGGGCTGGTGGTGTAGCGGTTAAGTGCGCATGCTCCGCTTTGGCGGCCCGGGGTTCGCAGGCTCGGATCCCGGGCGTGCACCGACACACAGCTTGTCAAGCCATGCTGTGGTGGCGTCCCACATGAAATAGAAGAAGATGGACAGATGTTAGCCCAGGGCCAATCTTCCTCAGTAAAAAAGAGGAGGATTGGCAACAGATGTTAGCTCAGGGCTGATCTTCCTCACACACAAGAAAAAAAAAATGTGGAACCTGGGCTCCATCACACGGACCTGCAGGTTGTGCAGAAGGTTCTCATGCACTAAAGCTAAGAACAGCTGATGTTAGCAGCACATTTCATTTCTCAAGAAGTGCAATGTGCCTCCACCACGTCATGTGGAAGCTGGCGCCTAGGACACACATTTGATTGATGGACAGAGACCTTGAGCTCATTCTGCATACCATGATGAGCTTGGGTCTTTTCTAAGTGGCAAATAGGAAGTGGGGTGTTTGGAATTAGACCCATCCCTCTTGCAAATGCCACTCATGAGAGGCACAGCACAGATTGGCATGGATACCCACCAAGCAAGGCAGACTCCCTGCCACCAGACCCACCTGCCTTGGGTCCCAGGGTGCCAGAATAGGGGAGGTGGACTGGGAGCTACTTTACTGATGAGCTTCTAGCAGATTCTCTTGGTGCACTTCCTGTGTCTCCCTTTCTGTCCTCACTAAGCCTGAGTAGGCTACCCTGAGCAACTGCCATCACAGTCCCAGAAGAGACCCTTAGGCAACTTGAATCAGGAAATCAGGGTAACTGTCAGAGGGCAAGGATGGCTTTATCCCCAGTCCCCAGGCCCAGGCCACCTCTCTGCCTCACATCCCAGCAGAGGTGCTCAGACCCTGTGGGGAGGCACTGGGCCAGCCAGCCTGGGTTACTGGGGGCGGGATGGAGAGGACTGGGGCGGGAAGGGTGATGGCGGCACACTACCCACCGATCTGGCTGGAAGAGCAAATGCACACTGAATGAAGCAGGGTGGCAACACAAACAGAGTCAACCTAAAATGCGGGTGGGGACAGATGAGCGAAGGTGGGGAGGAAACGAAACTGGCCAGGGCATCCTCTTCATAAGGCAACCCTCAGACTCCTCACTGGCTTCTCCGTTCTCCCCGCTGCCTAGAGCTCAAGGAGGCTCTGTGACCCCTTGTCCCATGGCCTTTGAGCTGCGGGGGCAAGCCTTGTTCTCAAGGCTCCTCTTCACAGGAGGGCAGGGGAAGGAACCCTGCGGTCCCCTGACTAGTTTCTCCAGCTTGAAGACAGGCCTTCTCTGACGCTCCTCAAACCCACATCACAAGGACTGGAGAGGAGGACCTTGGTTAGCAGGTCATCTCCTAAGCCAGGACCTGCCTGCCCAACTCCTCACTTCTGCTGTGCATCTACCTCCAGACCCCCAAGGTGGAGACTGTTCTTAAAGCTGAAGACTCTGAGAAGCTGGGTTTCAGCTCATGGCACCACTGAGACTTCAGGTCCTGGAGCACCTGGCCCTACCCAAGGACGTGTTCACTCGTTCTCACTGGCCAGAACCCACGGCAGATGGCAGAGCCGGTGCCGGGCCCCATGCAGCATGCAAGGCCAGCATGCACCACGTGCTCACCCACAGGTCTCCCTTTCAGGGGATGGCAGCCCGACCAGCAGACAGGAGCCAGCTGCCCCTATTCGCAGTGCAGCATTCCTTCTAGGGGCACGGATAGCCACCAAAGGCTGTGGACCCTCTCTCTGTGCCTGAGATGTCGAGCCTAGGCAAGGGCCCAGGTGGTTCAGGGGAAGTAACCACTCGGCTCCAGAGAAGAGGTCTGGAACCCGGTGTGTGGGGCTCCTTCTGAGCCACCCTCCCCTCAGTAGGGACAGACAGCAAGAGAAAGGAGGAGAATGTGTTTCCTCTCCCCTGGTCCCATCCTCCACACACATGCTCCTTGACAGCCTGGCTTCCCAGCCGCTGAAAGGGTGAGCCTGGAGCATGCTTTCCTCTGAGCCTCTCCCTCCTTCGCCCTGGCTGGGCGGGGTTCCACCTGCGTTGCCCCAGGCCACGCCCATTACCTCCGAGGCTGGTACGGTACCTGCGGTTGGAGTAGCTTCAGAACACAGCGCCCAAGAGAGCAGAGAGAGGGAGGAAGGACACGAGAGGGAAGAGAAAAGAGAGCACAGGTGAAACCACAGGACGAGCAAGCAGAGAAGGTTCTGGCTCAGACCCGACCCAGACAGTGTAGCCAGGTGCTGGCCACTGCCCCGAGGATGCCAACCAGTGTCCCGGGCTCATGTTCAGCTCCATAGGGTCTGGTATGTTCCTACAGAAAACTTCCCACCTGGATCTTGGAGACATTTCTAATACACTCTGATTCCACCTCTGCTCAAGGCCTGCCACGTAAGAGGTGGCTGCAGGGACAGCCCACCAAGAGTGCTACGTTCCCAGGTCTTTCCCCAAGGACGTGTCCTTCCCTGGCTGGGCTGATCTCCAGGAAGAGGCTGAGTGACCCTCCATGAGGCCAGGGATTGAGGGCATCAGGTGTAGGTGGTATAGGAGAACACTAACCCCAGTCGAAAGGAGGGTTCCTGTATCTTTGGGGAAGGCATTGACTGGTGTGGGGATGGATGGGATGGGGAGCTCATTTGCTTGAACCCTGCCCACATCATCTCAGCTGGGGGAGGCTGGAGCTGTGATGGACGGGAGCCCCGAGGCCCCTGTCCTCATGGCCTACTGCCTCCACTTCTTTCCCCCTAGTTGTACTTTATGAAATAAGAAACCCAGTGTAGACTGAGAGCCCTAAAAAGAATTCCTGAATTTGCTGCAAATCCCTGGGTTGAGAAGAAAGTCTTTGTCCCCTTGTTCCCGAGGACTGCAGAATTTTCCCTGTGGTGGTCACTGGGTTGGCCAACGGGGCTTTGTTTACCTGGTCTGTACTGGGTGGAGATGGGGAGGGAGAAGGGGCTCTCTTTATGTATCTCCTTATAGAACTAAGTAATCGAGAAAGTGCACCACCCCCGTCTTGGCCAGGTCTTCGGTAACAAGCATCTATCAGCCACTTACCCAAGGTCCCCCAGCCCTAATACACTGTGCCCAGGGGGGCGGAAGGGCACACTGAGGAGGAGCTTATTGCATGGCTCCTGGTTTACAGGACCAGAAAGGACTGTCAGTCTTTCTCCAGCTTCTGCCTGGCTCCTCTCCCTCTGCCTCAGTGCTGGCCTGCTGGCCAGGGAGGCAGGGCTGCTGATGGAGCTGAACTGGGAGCCCGGGGTAAGGCAGCAGAGGCAGCAGGGCCTGCAGCCCCAGCGAAGGAAGCGCTGATGCTCTCCTGGGTTGGGGAGGTCTGATCCGAGCCCAGGTCAGGCCCCCAGACCTCAGCCTTTTGGGGAAAGCACTAGAACACAATAATCTGTTGTCAGCTTGTCAGCTTCAAGAATCCCTACTCAGATCAGCTCTTCTTTGAAGTCTTGCCTTGCAGAATTAATCCCCCTCCTCTGCACAATCTCTACCCTTTCCCCGTCTAAACATGACATTTCTCAAGTTGAATTGCAATTAGACATTCTTTTTTTTTTTTTTTGTGAGGAAGACTAGCCCTGAGCTAACATCCGATGCCAATCCTCCCCTTTTTTCTTGAGGAAGAGTGGCCCTGAGCTAACATCCGTGCTCATCTTCCTCTACTTTATATGGGACGCCGCCACAGCATGGCTTGACAAGTGGTGCGTCAGTGCGCGCCCGGGATCCGAACCTGTGAACCCTGCGCCACCGAAGCGGAGCCCGCGCACTTAACCGCTTGCACCACCGGGCTGGCCCCCAATTAGACATTCTTGTGGCTGTCTTCCCTTCTGCCCTCTGTGAGCTTTACCTCTATATCAGTTGTTTTCACAGCGTTGTTTGGCACTCATGTTGTGGGCGCTCAAGGAATAGCTGTTGAATAGACCACTGTACCTCTGGAGAGGCAGAGCCCCGCCCCCCCCCCTTTCATACAGGATCTGCCAAAATTGAGGCTCTATAGCCTTGTATCCCTGAGCCGTACTGGAAGCCAGCACAGGTGCAGTGGGCCTGGCGCGCCCTCTAGTGGAGTTCTCAGGCAGGTGCAGCGCCCGTCGGGGGTGCTATGCAGCCAGAAGATGCCAGGACCCAGGAGATGAACTCACTTGCTCCTCATGAAGCTGGTTTGGCAAATGGCTGTTTCTTAACTCCCCTTCCTCTCCGCAGCCTGACAACTCACCCAATTCAGGCTGCAATTGGACTGGCTGTAGAGGGACTACAGCCATTGCTCTACTCGTGATCCGGGCAAGTAGCTTCAATCAAGGCTGTTCCCCACCTCCCTTTCTTGGCCCCACGCACCCTTGGGGAAAGAAGGGGCATCCTCATGGGGCACTCAGAATAACATCGCTGCCTCCCTCCATAGGCGAACACTTGCACGATTCTTTGGAGTTCATTAGCACATTTACTTCCAACACGCTTTCCCTCATCTCCTCCTCCCCACTGTGGGCTCATGCTCTCTTCCTTACCCCCCCACTAGAAGGAAAGATGATAGATGTGAAGTTGCTGAGCAAGTCAAGGCAAAGGGGGAACCCAAGTCCGACTGCAACAGTCTAAGATCTGAGTTTCCCAGATACATGGCCAGCACCTACCTCTTGGCATATTTGATCGGTTCTCGCCTCTCGAGGGCCTGAGGACCTGCAGCCTCATCGCCTCTCCATCCAGGGAGGCTGGCAGCCAGAAGGCCGGTCGGTGTGCTTCTCTAGGCATCTGAATGAGCGGGGACCCTTCACCCCCGAGGCTGTCGCCACGCACCTACCTTCATTCGGGGGTGCTGGTGACTCCTCTGTGACAGCTTCCCCAGAGCCCACCTGCGTCCTGGCACTGAGGGTAAAGCGGTAGCGCGACACGGGGTCTGCTCTCTGCACCATGAACTTGGTCTGATTGGGAGAGAAGTTTTCCACTATCTGCTTTCCTACTTTGGTTCCATTAACTGGGGAGAGATAGGTAAGTGGAATTGAACTTTAGCAACGCAGACCACGATGGATTATATAATCTGCAGCTGGAAGGAGAAAACCTTCCCAACACTGCTGAAGAGGGAACTTGTGGGACCGGCCATGACCTTACAGACTGGGGGATGGGAGACAGGCTCACAGGCGGAGTGCTGGGCAAGAACTGTGTCCTGGCTCTGGTGACACACCAGGGCTAACACTCTTCCACTGATCTCATTCTCTCTAACTCACTGCCAAGTTATGTGGCCGATTCTGATAGATTCAGTTTATAACCCCCAACCCTTTTCAGTAAGGACAAAACTTCTGAGTTCCTTTCTTCCTTTCCAACAGATCCAGGGCAAAACCACTAGAGTTTTCGATTGTTAATGCCTCCCTTATGAAAGGCCTATTCAATGTACCTCCAAGGGGAAGGTCAGGTCCAGAGATGATTCAGAACAGCATACAAGCACACAGTTGGCTATTAAAATCCTTAACAACACAACACCTGGCCCTTTGAGCTTCCCAAAGAGGTACATCACCTACTTCAGAGGGCTTCAAGTTTTTCAAATGTAATGACACCTCTGTCCACGCATGGTGATGCAAGCTCTTAAGGTGAGGTCTTCCCAACCCGGCTCCCGATCGAGTCCCTTCACGTTCCTCGGCAGCTCCACATGCAGCTGCCTTACCATAAATGGCACCCTATTAAGGTGTCCCCGGATGTTGTGTGGATTCCTGCTCATGCACTGTCCACCCCATTGGACGGAAGCTCCGTCAGGTGAGGAACTCTCTCTCCTAGGCTTATAGGTATTGGAGACGGCGAGATCCCTGAGGGCCAGGCTGTCTCCCTCACCAGACTGGAAGTTCCCTTTGTTTCACCCGGCTGACTTGAAGCTCCTGCAGGAGGAGCTGTGTCAGGAGAGCAGGGACTGGGTCTCACCTGCCTCCCCAGTCCCAGCGGGAACTTTCTCCATGGCCCCTCCCTCCCTCCACACAGCCCCTCTGCCTCCAGAGGTTTTCTACCTCGATTCCTTAGGAAAGTGATGAGAATGAGGGTTCTGGTTCCCAGATTGTCTAAGAGAAGGAGGGGCAGAACGTACAGGCCACATATTTGAGGGTATATCCAGTCAGGATCCCATTGGGGTGTTCCGGATGGTCCCATTCCAGGTTGATGGTCTCCAGGTTGGGCTGCCGGACTCGGAATCGCCTGGGGGCGCTGGGTACTTGAGGAAGGAGGAGAGCACAGGGAGATGCGGGGTGGGAGGGGCGGGCAGGGCGAGGAAAACACAAAAACAAAGCACAAGTATGAAGGCGTTGACCTCCGGAAACCCCACGCTGGGTCGCTGCTAAGCCAGAACCCGGAGGACTGCGTGGTGGCCAGAGCCCCTCGCTGTCCAGGATGGCATTTCCCCTAGGTCGGGACAAGGGCGGCTCAGATTCTGTCTCAATGGGGAAGCAGTCAGTCAAGTTTTCCTTTAGTAATGACCCTGGATGCAGCACTCATTAGGCTCTGATCCTCAAAGACACCTCCAAGTTGGGCAGAGTGGTCCCAGGCAGGGACGGACTATGCCTGAGACTGCGGAGGCTTCGTGCAAAGACTGTAGTTCCCAGGCCTCTGAGTGAGAATGCTGGGTTCAGAGGGGAGGAGAAAGAAACCCAAGATGGAACACGTGGGCAGGGTGCCCAGGGCGTGCGTGATGTGGAGAGGCTAATGATGAAAACCAAACCAGGGAGGATGGAAAGACAGGAACAGAGAAAACATGAGGGGAGAGCAGAGGAGAGGAGGAGGAGGAGGAAAATGGGGAAGATCGTAGTTAAGAAGGGAGGGAGGAGAAGCAGAAGAGGGCCAAGCAAATGCCAAGCCGATGAAGGAGAACTGGCGACAGCAGATGCGCGCTGGGGACTGGGCTGGTGTCCGCCTCCCGACCAGGCGGACTGTAAACCTGCAGCAGGCAGGGCGCCTCTGCAGGGCCACCCCACCTCAGGCCGACATCTCAGTGAGAGTCTGGACTACGGTGGCGAGAGAACGCTGAAGGTCCTGGGCGCTGGTCAACAAACCAGATGCCTCTAGGTGGTCAGGGTGACTGTGCTTCAGCCTCAGGTGTGGGGGCAGCCGAGGCCCCCGCAGTGCCCATGGGGGTCCGTCTGCACAGCCCGCCTGGAATTATGTCAGCAGACCGCGCAGGTCTTCTCTTGAGAGACAACCTCCTGTCAGGGCAGGCCACCTCGGTGCTGGAATGTGCTGTGGGAATGGCGGGAGCTCCTTGAGGTCACGCAGAGGTCAACTGGTGCTGTCCGTGCCAAGCCACGCTGGGGCTGCTCCAGGGCCCCCTGGATTGCTACCCTTGTCCTGCCCCACCCTGAAGAGCTGCAGGTCAGACCTACCTCCTTCCGGGGTGGTGAACTCCTTGGTTTCACTGCGAGGCCCATCGCCTCTCCCATTGACCACAACCATCTCCAGCTTGTAGTTACTGTAGGGGAAGAGGCGGGGCACCACACCACGAAGGCGGTCACCAGGGAAGCTGGCTTGCTGTCTCTTCTGAGACACCCACAAGTTCTTCAGCAAGCTGCTCTCCCTCCAGTAGTAGGCCTTCAGGACAGAGGCAGGCCGGTGAGGGGACGGTCAGGCACAGCTGGGTTAGTTATTAGTGGTGGCGGTAGTGACCGGTCTTCCCTTTGCTTGCCACAGGCTCCAAATCCCAAATGACCTCATCAGTCCCACTCAGGGCTGAGGGAGTGGCCTGAGAGTCCCCTTCCATTAGCCACTAGTTAGTAGGAGTTGGTGCCAAACAAGAAATAGGGTTTTTGGTTTCAATCAGTTTCTGAGCCATGTCACCCCTCTGGGGAATAGGCAAGTTGGCGAAACTCACAGCTGAGCTGCTCCATCATGACACTTATTTCCAAGCTGGGGAGCAAGTTGCTCAGGGAGTCCATGCCAGAACCACAAATATGAGCCAAGGGTCCAGGCATGGAAAGCTCTGCTCTGTGCTCAAAGATCGTGTCACCTTGAGCTGGGTTAGCATGGTTTAGATTGGCAGCAGGCAGGAGTTGAAAAGTAGCGGGTTACCCCCAGAAGTCTGAATATGAGAAAGGGTTGATTTAATCCTTCAAAGTCAAATGATGTCTTTTAGTATTGTTTGAAGACCTTTAGGAATGGGACAGTGACATGTCCAAGTCAGTGGGACGCCAGGCTGTGGAGTGGCAAGAGCTTGGATGGGACGGAATGGCCTATGGAAGGTGGCAGTGGCCCAGGTACAGTGGAGAGACTTTGCGACACGAGGTCTGATTAGCAGTGGGTAAGACGCCCCAGGGCAGCTTGCCACATCAGTGTCACTCGGGCCCCCGAGGGCAAGGTAAGGAGGAAGTCCAGACTTAGGAGGGGGACCCAATGGGAGCCTTAGTCAGAAAACTCTCCAGGCAAGTAGGTTAAGGTGCAGCCAAGTGTTGGGGAAGTTTTTTCAAGCGTGTACAGCATCTTGCCTTCACCTCCTCTTATCAAATTCATCTCCCAAGAAGACACTGACCCCTCCATTCTGCCCCTCATTGTCCATCAGCCAACTCTCAATGACCTCTAAGTCACAGAACCTGCATTTTTTAAACAGAGCTAATCACAGGGAGAGCCTTGCATACCCTGGGCCTCTCCCCCTTTCCCCACCTCGGCTCACCCTGTCAGAGGAAAGACAGAAACTGCTCACAGGCAGAAAAGACCAGGAGGAGCGAGGGCCCTGACAACGCACACGCTGGATAGTCCGGAGTTGGCTGTGACAACAGGGAAGGCACCTGCGCCCTTTTAGTGGCTCTGCCTGTTAGTTGGGGCTTCATGAAATCAGACTAGGGGAGCAAGCAGCCCAGCGGGGCCATGAGGAGAGGGGAGGGGTGTAGCTCAGCGGTGCCTCAACACTGCTTCTGAAGACGCACGTGTGTCCACTCACACACGTATGACAAACACAGCGTGCTGTGCAACATCAGCCCAAACCCACCACCCTCACGCGGTTTTCTGCAGAGCATCTCTCGGCAGATCTGTTACAGGACACGTCTGAGTATACGTATCTGTTCTGGGTAAGCTTTTGAGCAGCTAACCCTAGACATCATCTTCTTGAACCAACTCTGCCTCCAATCACTGACCCTAGGACCCCTTCCACATATTTATGGCCCGCGTCTGCTACCCCCGGCCCTGGTTAGCGAGCTGGTGGTTAGGTGGGGCCGGGAGCTGGCTTCCTCACTCGGTACTCTCTGAGCTGGCCCTGGACCGTGTCGGAGTAGACGCGGTTCCACTGGAGGCTGATGGCTGTGCTGTTCAGGACTCGGATCTTAACGTCAGTGGGTGCAGCCCTGGGATCTGCAATGTGTTGGGACAGAGAGCTGATTATGTGGGCAGGGCTGGCCCCTGGACTCTAGGGTCCCCTCGGACTTGCTCTCTGCTGATCTGTACCTCCACCCCACTCTGCCCAGGTGGGGAAAGGGTGCTCCATGAGGGCAGGGGCCCTGCCTCCTCCGTCAGACTGTAGTTGGAGGAGTCGAGAAGGCTCAGGACAAAAAGATGGCAGTCCAGGTGGGAGGATCTGCCTACAGGTTTACAGGGCAATTATTTGCTACCCTCATTGCCAGGTAGCCTCCATTTGCCCCTCCATCCCATTCTCCACCCCTCCCCACCCTGCTCCGTGTCCCGGGAGGCTGCCCTCTCTGGACTGTGTCAGCTCAGCTCCCCTGTTCTCAGGCTTCTAGACAGGCTTGCCCAACAGGAGGTGCCAAAAAGGAGACCCCAGGGCGGGAGGAGAGGGAGGGAGGGTATCTATTCCCCTGGCTGCCTCTTGACGGGGCTGCAGGTTGACAGCGTGGCATTCTTCTCCCGAGGGCCACAGCTCCCGTGGGGGGGCCTCACTGGCTGTGTGGTGACTCACCCGTCCCCTGCCTCTTCAAGGCTCAGAGCGGTATAATGGCATCCTGCTGTGGCTAGCCCTCTAGGTGGTGCACTATACCTTGCTTTTTTCCCTCTCACCCTCTCCTCACATTAGAAATAGTCCCCTTTGAGTGGCATCCTTTTCCTGCCAGGGCCCTACAGGAAACATTACCCACAGACTGAAGATGTCCCAACCTAGTTCAGGCAGGGATCTGATCCTGTGACTACCTGGAAACGGAGGACTACTCTCTCCCCCATAACTTATTCTCGCCCCCCCCTTTTCCACTCTGCTGCAAAAGCAGTTCTGCCCCACTCCCTCTAACCCCTCAGAGCACAGACCGTAGGGGTAGATGGATGCAATGGAAACTGTGTCCCCACAAAGTCCACGACTAGACGCTGTCCCTTCCACACTTACCATCCAGTCCCCACCGGTCTCCTGTCCGCAAGTGTCTGCCACCACGGAGATGAGGAGTGAGGATGGACAGAGAAGCTGCTGATCCCCTCTGCTTATCTCCCGAGTGGGTCCCATCCATAATCACCTCCAGGAAAGTGGGACTCAGGGCCCACCCCGCTGCTTACCATCTCACTGTTATGACCACGAGCAGCCCTACTGCTGACCCCAACGCTGCCATGCGGCTCCGCTCCTCCCTTCCTCCTGGTCACCCCATCCACCTACGTGATCTCTTTTTAGGTCAGACCCAGACCCACCAGCGCATGGATCACCCCCACCAGGAGGGGCTCCACTGACCCCCCTGCTTTGCTCAGCAGCCTGCTGGCTGGATGTGCTGGGGACAGAGCCACCAGGCACACACTTCCACAGATATGCCCAGAATCTTGTTGATCTGCCCAGTGCCAGCCTCCAAAGAACTGCTCTTTTTATGCTCAATTCCAAGGGCTAAGGCAACACTGAGAATGCTGGCAGGTGGCTGGTCTGGATCCTTCCAGTCTGGGGCTCTGCAGACCTTCTCCATCCCTCAAGGCTTCTCCTGGGGAGCCCAGGGAGGAGTCTGGCGTGTGGCACCCCCCTTCCTGTAGAGGAGTCTAATTATGGCTCTTTGGGATGGACAGTCCTGAAGCCTTTGTCGGTGCTAGCGAGGCTTGGCAGTGAGGAAGATCAGAAGGCCCGGGCTCTATTTTCAAGCCTGATATTGACAATTGTGTAATACTGGCGAGGGTTTTCCCTTGCAGGGCCTCAGTTTCACATCCATAAAGTGAGAATATCGGCTAGGTGATGACACCCGGTAATCCTAACTAGCGGTCAGATGATAACATGTCTGCCCCTGACGTTATCAGGGGCCCATCTGCTCTAGGTCACTGTGGGGGATTTCTCTTTCCTGGGAACTGCTGTCCTCCCAGGATGTTCTTGGAAGTCCCAGAACCCACCCCGAGGTTCCTGGTCTGTGAGGGTGGCCTTCTGCAGCCCAGCCATGAGGGTCCTGGGTTGGGGATGGGGGAGGGTACTCACAATCTTCTCCGGAGTAACCGATGACAGTGTCTGGCTCAGGGCCCTTCCCAAAGTCATTTTCAGCCTGGACTCGGATCTCATAGGGCACGTAGACAGGGGTCTGCCCCACCACGTAGCGGGAGCCCCACACGGTGACGTTGTTCCAGCTCTCGCGAGTCTCTCTCCGCCGCCACTTGACGATGTAGCGCAGGTTGGGGCCGAAGGCGGAGGTGGCATTCATGGGCTGAGCAGGGAGACACGGACGGCAGGGCTGGAGGGAGGGCAGGCGAGGAGCCCAAGCCCCACAGCCTGCACTCTCTTTCCGTGCCGGGCTCTCCTCCCCAATCCGCCCGACGCTGGCCAGCCCCCTTGCAGAGTTGGGGGACAACTCTGAGTTGTCCCTCGCTGAGCCCCCAGAAGCCCAGAATCCTATGAACTCCGCAGCATGCAGGTCTTCTGTGACAAAGGCTTCACCCAAGAGCTGCTCACTTTGACTCCTGGAGCCACCCACATCTGCAAGCGTGCAGGGAGCAAAAGCTGTATCTTTGACAAGACTCTCTCCTATGAGTGAGCAACAAGCAAACAAAATATGGACAGTAATACAATATTCTCCACGTTGGAAAGGGATGCGTTTTGGTTTAGCCACTGCATGCCTCCTGCCAATGAACTCAAGATTCCAGAACTGATTTCAGTCCTATCAAATCCATGTATGTCTGTCCCGTCCTTCCTAAGAGGTCAGAGCTAAGAGTGAGTGTAACTCTGTTCTTTTTTCCCTAAGGGCCGGGTCCAGGAAACAGTCCTGTTTCCTCCTGGAGCCTGCAATACGGAGCCACAGACCAAGAACCGGCCCTTGCATGGTCCCAAAGATGAGTCCCCGCATCTTGAGTCTAGGCTCAGCCCAGTTGCCAAGGCTGTGAGACCAGGCCCTCGGCAAGATGGAGACGGTGATGATTCCAAATACCGTCTTCTTCCGGCTTCCATCACTCGTGGGAACGACGCAGAAAGGCGAATATTTCAGTGGCTGAATTTGCATCTCTTAGACTTAGAAGTGGTTTTAAAAAGTCATTTCGAGGTGACGTATCCCAATTTTGGTTTGGAAAATGTAGTCAGTGAGCCAGGAAGACGACGGGATTTTTTCAATCCTGGCCTAAATGGTATTTTGAGTGATCTGGTCCATTCCTGGACTTAGGGAAGGTCCACACTGAAAAATGTCTCCACTGCTGGTCTCTCCAACAATCTCCAGTGAAAGGACCCTGGGCCACACGGAAGCTCAGTACTGGTGTCCAGGCTCACTCTTTCCTGGAGTCTAACCTAAATCACTCCTTCTTTAAAGAAGTCCATTTTGTTTTGCTGGCACTGTCTGATTTTGCCAGGCTGGCAGTCTATGTCCCTTGGTCACCTTTCCTCCTGTCTCCTGCCTTAAATCTTGCTCTTGGACATGCTCCTGTTTGGTTTCTGGGTGCCCAACACAGAGAAAAGTGGCCACCAAGCCAGCCAGGTAGTCTGAGCCACCCTGTGGCCTTGGGGTCTGAGGAGTGAAAGGGCGGGGGCTCCCAGGGGCACCTGCCAGGTGAGCAGGCCCATCAAGGGGGGCTGGGAGGGACTCTTACCGTCCACGTGATCTCCATATTGTTCTTTCTGGTCCCCTCTCCCTTCACGTCAGCGGGATTGGACTCAGGGGCTGGAACCCAAATGGATGCAAAGTTCAAGTTCAATTTCTGCCTTTCCAGGGCACAGTAAGAAACCTCTCTCCCTCCCACCCAACTGGTCCCTTCTACACTCCATCTTTTATCAGCATCTCTCTACACACTCTGTCCCACAGGCAACTGAACTTGCTCTGCCTTTTTCTCATCTGTATGATGTGCCTTCCTAGCTAAGGTTTAAGCCCTGAAAGCAGGGCTAATTCCTTTTGAATTTTAATCCCTTACCAGACAGCATTTATCATAAGGCTTTCCACACTTTAGCTGATCAATATACCCAACTCAGTGTGGAGTATCCCCCTTGGGGATTATCCACTAAATATGTTTAATACTAGACTGGTTTATCTCTGGAATTTAACATTTCCAGGGAGCATCACCACCTGCAACGAGCTGGTATGATTTCAGAAATCTAAACATTACCCAAGTGTGTTAGGAAAGGAAATCTGATATAACACCAGATTATATATTTCTACTACAAATCTTTGCCATAGCTCTTCCCTTTAAAGCAGATCATCAAGAATTACTAACAATATTAGTAATAATAAAAATGACAGCATTTACTGTGTGCTTACTATATGCCAGGCATCACGGTTAAGTATTGAATTGCATTTTCAAACATCATCCTCACAATAGCCCCATGATGGTGGTGGTGGTGTTATTCTCTGTTTCACAGATGAGGAAGCCAAGCCTTGGAGAGGTTAAGTCGCTTGTTCGTGTGTCTGGGGACTGGTACCTGGGTCCACACCTTCTGTTAACCTTCAAGTACTCACGTGCTCCGCTGGTTCGGTAGCGCTCGGACGGGAGGCTGGGGTGGCTGCTGCCGACCTCGTTGATGGCAATGACCCGGAACTGGTAGTTGACGTATGGGGACAGCTGGAGGACGGCTGAGTTGACACTGCCTGGGAACTTGGAATGGTCATGCCAGACCCCTGGCTGGAACTGGTCCTCTTCAAACTGGACGACGTAGTCTGAGTGGGCAAGGAAGACAGAGCTGTTTTGGGAGCTGAGTCAGCAGAGCTCTTTTTTTCTTTTTTTTTTTTTTGTGAGAAAGATGAGCCCTGAGCTAACATCTGTTGCCAATCCTTCTCTTTTTGCTGAGGAAGATTGGCCCTGGGCTAACAATTGTGCCCATCTTCCTCTACTTTATACGGGACGCCGCCACAGCATGGCTTGATAGGTAGTGCGTTGGTGCACGCCCGAGATCTGAACTGGCGAGTGTCGGGCCACGGAAGCGGAGTGCGCTAACTCTAACCACTACGCCTCCGGGCCGGCCCCAGCAGAGCTCCTTTTAAGAGCGCTTCCCTGCGGTTTCCACTAATCTTTACAATCTCCCCTGGGTAGACAAAGGTACAGGGAGAACCCCATCCAAAACACTGAAAAGGAAACCGAGGTCTCCATGCGTTCTGTGAACAGCCCAGGGCAATGTCCAGTGAGGCAGAGGCGGGAGCAGCAGCCAGGGCAAGGCCTCTGGCTTCCAGGCTGCTACCACCCCTCTCTTCTGAACTGGAGCCCAGACCCCCGGCCGACCTGTGATGGGGCTGTTGTTGTCGTCTCCAGGGATCCAGGTCAGCCTCACGCTCCTCTCGGCCAGGTCAGTGAGCTCCAGGTCCCGGGGTCGGTCTGGCCGTCCTGGCAGCAGAGGGAGAGACACCATGCGAGGCTCCCAGGTGAGAGCCAGCCCGCCCTGGTGTTGGCCCCAGCCCTGGACACTGTTGCACGGACAGGTCCCTGACGGGCTGAGGTCACCACCCAGCCTGCCTGGAGGGTCAGCGCAGGGACCACCCCCTTCCCTTAGGGGGCCAACAAAGAACAACAAGGAGCCCCCAAATTCCAGCACTCCCAAGAGTACAGGAGAGTGTAGGCCCCAGAGAGCACTGGGGCAGCACACCCCATTTCCGAGGGGATCCTCCAAGCACATGCATCTGGGAAACGCTGCCCTTTTCATTAGACCCATGTTTACGACATTTAGGAAAGCCGGTGAAGACGTGTCGGATTGTGTCTCATTTTTTCATGATAATTATCTTCTACTCTGTGTCCCAAGGCTCTAGTGGGGCAGAAGCCCAGGAGGGTGTGTGGAGTGCTGAGCGGGGCAGCCTAGTTAGGGAAGTGGGAGGGACAAAGACAGGGTACCAGGCCAGGGAGGAGATAGGGACGAGTCTAGAAGTTTCAGTGCTGGACAGCAGGACAGAAGAGCCCCAGCAGGCACCCAGACAGCGAGGGGGAAGCACCTTTGTGGGCTCCAGTCTCAGAGAATTTCCTTAGAGAGTGTAAGTGCCATCCCGGGCTGGGGATAAAGCCATCCGGCCACTGACTGGTGGGGGGTGGCATGATTTTTCCCCATCCTGGCTCCTTGAACTAGCTATTTCCACATTTTGGCTGGTTACTGGAAGGATCTGGAAGGTGAGTCACATGAGCCCACATTTGTGTGTGTGCACACGTATGCATGTACAGATTTTAAGTGGGTGTACAGTAGCAGATATGGAGAGGCTGCAAAAAAGATGGGCCTACGGATAACTCGAAGTAAGTGGGTTTTCCTGACTGGCCTTACACATTTCTGAGGCCTAGCTGGGGGAAAGGACAGGCCATCCCAAGGGAGTGGTGAGTGTGGCCAGAGGTAAGAGATGGGGCAGAACAGCAGCCAACGACTCCAAGCTCGCCCTGTGCAAGGAGCAGGAGGCCCGGAGCAGGAAGCCGGGAGCAGGGCTGTGACAGGCCCAGGGCGGGCACGTGGGACATGCAGCAGGGAGTGGCAGTGCTACCCACCTGCCTGCACACAGCACACCCTGTCCTGCGCACCCTTCTCCTCCTAGACCCCCCGCCCAGATGCCTAGAGGGCCTGGCGAGGGTCCGTGATTAGTATGCATTACCTTTGGGCAGGGCAGCCAAACGGTTAGTTGGAGTGGCCTGATCAGCTGCAAAGGTAAGACAGGTTAGCAGGTTATCTGGGGTTAAAGGTGTTCTAGAAGGGTGGGAGCAGGCAGCTGAGATTGAACAGCTGCCCCTGGGCTGACGTGTCCCAGGCACAGCTTCACCCTCCCCTCCACGGGGACCCCCCACCCCTTAGAGGCCTTCCAGCGTTCCCGCGTGACGGGGGGTGGAATCCCTCTCTCCTTCCCGTCCCAATACTACGCTGTGCCTGGGCCCACCACTCGCAGCGACTGCACCTCCACTGTGGAAGGGACAAGGGCGCACCAGCAGTAATGGCAGCAGGGCACCCAGAGAGAGGACCGAGGTGACGAGGGACAATGGGGGATGTGCTTCATGGACGGGAGAGGCTGCCTTCCCTGTGTTTGGGATGGCTTAGTATTTACAGTCTGGCCTGGACAGGGGGCAGGACAAGATGGAATCATCTTGCTAAGTGTGTGGCTCCCTGTGAAATCCCATCAAGAACCGGGAGCAGGGTGAGAAGGGGCGTAAGGCCGGTGAGGGGGTTGGAAGGACAAACACGAACTCCAGTCTTGCTTCAAGGATGGATGGTCTTCATGGACTTGGCGGTTTAGAGTTAGCGGTGAAGTTGGTAAAAATGATCCCACCAGGAACCCCTCCACCTCCCTCTCTCACGCAGGCACCCACCGGCCGAGGACCAGGGTGCTTAGGACTGTACTCAGGAGCTAAGTCGTCCGGCACAGCTTGCTCTGAAGGGAGCCGCTTTCTAACCTTTAGATCAACAGGCAGGAGAGCACCACAGATGCTGTCCTCGGAACAGTCCAGGGTTTCTCTGGCCGCAGGAAGGGGTGGGGATGGGAGTGGAGGCCAGTGCCAGTACGGACAGCAGCAGTTACCTAGCACGGTGAGGTAGGCCTTGGCCAGGTCTTGGTCCAGCTCGGTGCTGGCGACGCAGGTGTAACTGCCCTGGTCTCGCTCCGCCACACCAAAGATGGTCAGGGAGTCATCCTCCTTCTTCATCCTGCAAAGGCGCAGGGGAAGGGTTGGGAGGAGGGCGAATGGAGGGACTGTGAAGGGAGAGGTGGGGGGAGTGCCGCCCGCTGCTTTCTCCCTGGAGGGGATGGCCAGTCAGAAGGGAGAGGAAAGCGTCACAGGCTGCGCTGGGCAGCCACAGCCGTTCCCAGGGGACATGAGGCTCCACCTCAATGCTTTGGGAGAAGCAGGGTCCTCACAGTCACCTAGGGTGCTTGATGGAGGGAAAGGAAAGCCGGTGGAGATGAAGTGGCCCTGACCCATGCTCACCATCCTCCAGTTCCACACTGGGTCTGTTCTCTGTGCCTTTCTCTCTTTTTGGTGAGGAAGATTAGCCCTGAGCTAACATTTGTGCCAACCTTCCTCTATTTTGTATGTGGGACGCCGCTACAGCACGGCTTCACGAGTGGTGTGTAGGTCCATGCCTGGGATCTGAACCCATGAACCCCATGCCCCGAAGTGGAGCACTTCATGAACTTCACCCCTACGCCACCGGGCCGGCCCTGCTCTGTGCCTTTCTTGTGCGGTGCTCCCCTCCCAAATTAGGGCTCACTTAGGCCCACCCCCCAAAAGGCAGATTGCTGTCCCTTCTTTTCCAGTACTTCCAGCTCTGTCTTCAGCCCGTATGCGTCTCTGCACCCAGGCTCAAGCCAGGCGCCCGGCTCCTCTGCACCGTCCCACGGAGGGAGGGGCACCAAAGAGCAGGGCGGACTGTGAGCACCAACAGAGGGCCAGAGTGCCTGCACCCGACCGTAGGGTAGACCCCTGCCAAAACCCAGATGATCGCTGGAAAGAACCTGCCCCCGAGATGGAAGAGGGTGCAGCAGAGCCCTGCACAGGGAGGCTGGACCAGCCATCCTCAACCCTGACCGCACATTAGAAACACCTGTGGGGACTCTGCACCGCTATCAGTGCCCAGGCCTTCCCCCCACACCAATTAAATTTGAGTCTGGGATGAGGGAGAGGGCAGGCATGGGTCAGTAAAAGCAGCCCTGAGGGCGGTAAGGGCTGAGAACCCCGTCAACCACATGGCCATAGTCAGCTCGGGCCAACCCTGCCCTCTGCTGGAGAATGGAGGCACTGCAAGCAGAGCTGAGCGGATAGAGGGGGTCCTGGTTGATGCAGACAAGGAGGAAGGGAGGGGTGGAAACATGGGGAGGAGGGAGGGGAGAGCGAGAGAGAAGTGAAGAGAGAAAGGAGTGGGAGAGAAAGGAGAGGGAGAGAGAGGAGGCAGAGGGGAGAGAAGTGGAGAGTGATGGCGGAGAGAGAGAAGGCTGCGAGGTGGGGCAGGCATGCAGGCCACCAGGCCCTGTCCAGCAGTTCCTCGGTGACCCACATGTACAGTTCCCTATCTCCGAGTTCTTTAACGTGTCATCAAAGGCAAGGGAGAGAAAACGCCCCCAAACTAGCACCAGGAGGAGGAGCAGCCGCAGAAACCTGTTCCCGACGTAGAGCGGCTCGTCGTCCTTCAGCCAGGCCACTGTGAGCTTCAGGGACGGGTCGTGCTTCACCCGGCACTCCAGCTGCACCGTGGTGCCCCTTTTGGCAACCTGGTCCTCAGGCATCCGGTAGATCCTGGTGGGGTCTGTGGGGAGGACAGGAGCTCGTCACTGACACGTTCTCTGCCCACCACCCCCATGTGGCCACACAGTGTGACACGCATGGCCTCAAGCTTAGAATGACCATGGAAGGTGGCAGAAACAGGATTCAGTTTATGAATGGGGGCAGGCCTCCGTGGGCGATCCCAAATCGTAAACAATCCCCCAATCCTGTCTATCTGGCTCGGGGATACATAACGCAATTTCTGGTGGTAGTGGGGAGTTTGTGTGGGCAGCAGGTCTCCCTTCCTAATTCCATCTGGACCAGGCTGATAATAAAATGACTTGGCATTCCCAGTACCCGGCTCAGCTGGAAGCCCTGGGAAGTAGCCCCTACCCACAGGGAGGGTCCCATCTGGGATTAAGCAGTAGGTGTGGTGCATTTCCAAAGTGACTATCACATGGGGACAACTGTGAGGAGACAGCCTCCTTGCCTCACCCTGTCCTCCTCCAATGACCCTCTCCTTTACCTTTGACCTCCAGGCGGACCTGGTTTTCTGCTTTGCCCAGGATGTTAGTGGCGACACAGGTGTAGATGCCTTGGTCCTCTTTGCGGATCATCTTGATTTCCAGACTGCCGTTCTCATAGACATGGTAGTTGCCTCCGTCCAGGTTGCTTCCTTGCCCATTCTTAAACCTCACAACAGAGCAGCAGAACACACAGCATCCTGAGAAAGGACCGACCCAAGCGAGCAGGGCAGCAACCACTTGAGGGACCGTGAGGGCTGAGGAAGGAGCCCCACGCTAGGCGTCTGGAGCCCTGAGCCTTGTATGGTCTGCCTCCAACACTGGGTGGCCCTGGCAAGTCTCAGCCCCTCTCTGGGCCTCAGTTTCCTTCTTTTCACAATAAAGGGGTTGACCCAGATGACCTGCCAACTTCCTCCCAGCTTCGACCCACTAAGGTTCCTACGTCTTGCTGAATACCCATTATGGGCCAGATGGGAATGAGCAAGGTGAGACAGACAACCCCTGTGGGGGAGACCTGGTCTCCTGGAACTTACCATCGGAGCGTGGGGATGGGGGACCCAAAGAACGGGCAGTCCAGCCGCGTGCGGTTGTACAGGATCACCCTAATGAGCTGGTTCCGGGGTGACAGCATCCGGGGCGGCACGTCTGCAATTCCCAGAGAACTTATCTTGGGTGGGGAGTCTGACTCTTCCATTTCTTCCCCTCGGTCCCATCTCTTTGTGCCTTCTCCTTACTGTAGCTTTCCAAGGCCACCACACCTTCCCCTATTGACCTCCCTCCTTTGAGAAGCTTCTAAAGATTAGGTGAGGGAGGAGGAAGGTTATCCGTCTGCCCTCAACCTACCCTACATCCAGTGCAGCTTTTGAAAAGGGTTTCCCCAAATTATCCAGCAGGTTCTTACCTGTCCCTCCACAGCCTCCACATCTCCCAGCTGCCCCTCCACAGCCCCTTCCCTGCTCTGGGAGCGCCACAAACACACGCAGGACCATCTCCCTCTGAGACCCACTGAGAACCCAGGGAGCATCAACATGGACACACCAGGAGGAGACAGGTCCACTCTCTCTCATCAGGGCGGGGAGGGGACCAAGACTGACTTGCAGCAGGGAATTAACTGTGTGCACAGCCAGCTCTGTGGATTTTAAGTCTTCCAGCCTCCCAGCAAACCTGTCTTCAGTCTCCATGCTTCTCCCACCCTCCTGCTCTCCTACCCCACCCAGCCTGGCTGATGTCAGGAGGAGAAAGCCTGCCAGTATGCCCAAGGTTGAGCAGGCCCAGGAGGCCCCAAGGCAGGTGGGAGCCCTCACCCAGCACGCTGACGAAGGCGTTGGCCAGCAGGTAGCCGTGCTCGTTGGAGGTGTTGCACTGGTACACGGCCCTGCTGCTGATCTGCGTGTCCCGGAAGATGATGGTGTCTCCGGCCACCTCTCGGTTTGGGTTGGGTGGTGCCGCTGCAGACAGGAAAGATGCTCCTCATGAGAAACGGGGGAGGGAAGGGTGAAGGGCACCCTAAGAGGACTGGGGGGCTGTGGAATAAGCAGCACTGGGCGGCTCCCAGAACGCTCAGCCTCCGGCCCCTCTACTGCTCTGTGACCTCGGGCCCATCACTGAAGCGACTGGGGTTCATTTCCCAATCCATCCAATGGAATACGAATCTCTGCTCCACCTGTAAAGCAGCTGGCAGGTGTGGCTGAGCGCATAAGCTGAGGAGACAGAAGGGGTTTGAATTCTAAGCACATCAGCCACCAGTGTTACTCAATCTCTCTCAGCTTCAGTTTCCTTGTCTTGCAGCATGGGGGTAACACAGCACCTCGGGGGGTTTAACGAGGATAACCTGAGACTTTATGCATGAATAAAGTCATTAGCAGGGTGCCCAGCACAGGCTGATTATCTTTACTGTTATTATTTTAATCCAATGTGCATACACTCAAATGTGTTTTGAAAGGACAAAGCAACATACAACCGGATGGGACCTATCACCTTCCCATCCTCCAGGCAGAGCATTCTTCAACATTCACAGAGTGGAACCCATAAGCCAATGCCAGCTGAAATCCGAATGAGTCCTTGTACCTGCCAAAGCTACCTGATGGTCCCAAGAAACGCACCCTAAAGTGAGTGCACATCTCCTCTGGTTCTCCCGCCACCGCTGGCCTGGGGTGCGGAGAGCAGAGGCTGAGGAGTGGGGTGGGGCCTCGTCCTGTCCACACATCAACCTGGGACTCAGGGCAAGTCAGTGAATCTTTCAAGGCCTCATTTCCTTCATCTGTCAAATGAGGAGAATTCCTCCCATCTTTCCCCTACTCTGAGGAAGGTTAAGATAGGAGAGTGATAATGAGCTATACAAATGAAAGTTGCTAGAAAAGTAAAGAATTGCCACTTTCCCATCTTTCCCCACTAGAAGGCGACTTTCTTCTGTAAGATCTCTGGACTGGGCCAGATGACTTGGCTTGCATGGTCCGTGAACCCATCCGGGATAACTCAGACCCACAAGGGCAGCCAGCAGAGGACCCAGGGTCTGGTCCCCCGGGCGCCACTCCACAGATAGCAAGTCTGAGCCCAGACGTGGGGAATCAGCAGGAGGTAAGTGAAGACAAGGTCAGCATCCTTATCATCCTTCCCCAAGTCCCTACTCAGCAGAAAGGCACCAGGAAGGCAAAGCCAGCAACTCTACCACCTCCCTGCCCAACAATTCTCATGGACCCAACTTTCCTCCCAGTCAGTCCCGGGAAGTGATGGGTGACCTTTCCAGGACCAAGGGCTCTGCAGCATGTGTGCAAGGGTGCTGTGACGTTCAGTGCCTTTGTCTGCCTCATCCTCCAAGTGCTGTCGGACAGGGAGAAGTGTAGGCAACATCCACGTCTCTGCCAGTGTCCAGGGGAAGAGCACTTGCTGGGGGTGACTGTGCTCAGCACTGGGTAGGGCAGGCATGCGGCGTCCTCACAGCAGCCCACGGCTTCACCGGGACAAGCCATGGGAGCCCGGGCAACCCACGGCTCTGCGGGAGCCTCGTTTCCTCATCTTTCATGTTTGAGGTTAAAGAGAGAAGGGGACGCAGCACCCAGTGCGGTGCTGGGCACACAATAACCGTTCCGGAAAGTGCATTCCCAGCCTCCCCTCCACTGTCTCCCCGCCTCCCCCGCTGCTCTGCAGTTAGGCTCTGAGTTGTCGCCATCTGTTTTTTGCCCCATTTGGTTGCTATCACTGTTGGCATTTCCTCTGACCCCCCAGAGAAGTAACAACAGGACATTTAAAAAGTAAATGCTACTGGAGAGAATATGATGTGAAAAGTAGACCAAGACCTCTGGCTGGAAGGTCCCTGGAGTCACCTACTCCAGCCATCTGGGCAGGACAAAATCTCCCCCAAGTCTGTTCATACTCAGTAACTGCACTGGTGCATCTCTGCTCTCAAGGGCAAGTTCTTCCTCATATCTGACCATATCTTTCATATTGTCATGTAACCCTGCCTCTTATTTTGCCCTCAGCAGAGACTGGGCCCTGGGCAACCAATAACAATGGGTTACTGAGCTCTCCTCTCCCTTCCAAGCCCCAGCATCACTCAGAGCCCAAACTCTCAGGAGAGGCAGTGCCGTCCCCGACCTTCAAGTGGGCTCTGTAGTTGTTAAGGGCAGAAAGCAGAGATTTAAGAAAAACCCAAGGGAGCAGAAATTCCCTCAATATGGGCACATGACCACAGGCCTCCGGTTCTCTCACAGATGAGGCAGGGTTCCTGCCTCCTGAGATGTCCAGGGAGGTGGGCTGCTCCAGAAGCAGCAGCCCAGGGGTTCTCGTTAACTTCACCTCTGGCACAACCAGGCTGGCCCACAAGGAGTGGAGCCTTTGACAGGAGAGAGAGCAGAGTCAGGCGGGACAATGGCTTGTTACTCACATTGCAAAGGTTCCCCATTCACCATCCACTGGATGGTGGGCTTGGGGTTCCCACTGGCTCGACACACCAGTCTCCCGTCCTCGCCAGGAGCCAGAATAAGGTTCTTGGGTTCATCCAGCCAGTAGGGAGCAGCTGGAAGACAAGGACAGCACAGGCAGGGAGTTAGATGGCACAGGGCAGGCGGAAGAAACCAGACGGGCTCCCTCTAGGAAGACAGGAGCCCCTGAGCACCAGCCCTGGCCCTCACCACCTGCCCAGGGCTCATCCTCATGGGACGATTCATACCACAGATGCTGACCAGTCTATCTGGAGTTCACAGAACAATAGTTCTAAGCTGGCGCTGCTCAATAGAGTCCCGTGAAGAGCTTTTAACAGACATGGACAGTAGGGCCTGTCTTAGACCTACTAAGTCAGAATCCCCAGGGGAGGCCCGGGTGGCAAATGCTTTCAGAGCTCCACAGGTGTTCATGATGGGCACCCAAGGGCTTGAGCCAGGGAAGGTGGTAAAGTGGGCACAGGGTTGGCCCTCTGGATTTCTGTTGTTGCTGCTACAAGATCAGACCATTCAGGAAAGGGCTGATCTTCATTCTTTTAGGCAGTGAGCTTTGGTTAAAGCAGAAGCTCTTAGCTGGCCCCCCTTCCAACTGTTTGGAAAATTTTGTGAATATAGGGATATGTGGATTTTTCTGAGAAGAACGTCCTTTGGATCAAGTTCTCAAAGATCCTGATATCCCAGAAAAGGTTAGGAACCCCTGGTTTGAGTGTAGTGCTGAAGCCAAGGTGACAGGGTCAACTGAGCATGTGCTAAGAAAGTCCTTGTACTGGTGTCAGACCTCATCATCCCAATCACCCCTGAGCCCCCGGCCCAGCAGGGCCTGGTGCACCCACCACCCACGGCTGGACCCAGAGAGGCACGTCTTCTAGTGCTGGCAATAGTTCAGGGGAGCCATCTATGCTTTTAAGGGAGGGAAGGGATTTTTAAAAAAATAATTTGAGCCATGATGACTCCTCATTTTTAAAAAGAACCATGCACAAGTACACAGACAGCACAGGGCTAAGATGACACACCATGAACAGGACTGCAAAGGAAGAAAGAAAAGGCTCTGGGGGTGATCCAAATGGACCACGGAGGAGATTCACCTGCCGAGGGAGCCCGGAGCACAAATGAGAGCAGGGTGATGGTCAGGGTGGCTGTCCTTCCCGATACTCCCCACTCTCTCACGCGCACGCACACACACGCACGCACACACACACTCGTATCCAGGGGGTGGCAAGTCACTACTGCCACTAACCAGTGTGTTGGAACTGTCCCCCTCACCCCGCCCCCAACTGCCCCCAGAGGGAAGGGTGGCCATGGTGTTCAGGGCTGGCAGATCATCATAATGAGAAATACACACAACGTACCCTTTACTCTCACCGAGATCGTGTGCCGGATGCTGCCCATCTTGTTGGAGGCCAGGCAGAAATACTCCCCAGAGTCTTCCTCAGAGACATTGGTGATACGCAGAGCCTTGTTAAAATTCTCAAACTTGGCCTTGTCAGATGGGAGGTCCCCTCCTTTCTTGTACCATGCGATGTCTGGTGTTGGGCTAGGAGAAGGACCAAGCAGGAAACAGGAACTTAGCCCTGCTGTTCTTATATAGAGCCAAAGACACCCGGGTGTCCTTAAAGTGTACGCGGGCCCAGGAGGACGCATGTCCTCTGAGAGCTGAGCTCTCCTATCCAGAGGGGGTGCTCAGCCACAGAGCGTTTGAGGGACTTATCTGAGGTCACACGAGATCCCTAACACATGCACAGGATGCCTACCCATCTCCTTTCCTCATTATCCAAAAGATTGATGGCAGAATGCGATGGAGATGACTATGATTTGCAAAGTCCTCACTAGCGGCTGTTTGCTTCTCTTTTGGCCCCCAAAACGTGGCAAGAATAGAGCATGCACAAACTCCCACCCCATCCTCCTGGAGGGTAGCCAGAAGTGGGGGTGCAAACAGTACGTACACCCCGGAGGCGATGCACTCCAGCAGGAGGTCCGTGCCACGCAGCACCATCTGACTGCTTGCCGTGCCCTGGGGATACATGAAGCTGGGCGTCCTTTCCGCAACTCCTCGGGCTGGAACAGGACAGAGCAAGCTCTCGTGAGCCTCCTGTCCGGAGGGCTGACCCAGCTAGGCCAAAGCTGTCAGGCTAGAAAGAAATGTCATCACGCCCTGCTGACCCCCTCACCCTCAGAGGCACCAAGCCCCGGTCCCTCCCAGCTGAAACCACCCCAAGGGCTGGGGCATCATTAAGAGAGGTGTGTTAGGAAGCGCGGGGCTCCTCGGCCCCACCGGCACATGTGTGTGAGCAGCTCTACGTTCTGAAAGGATCTTCGAGGATCCAAGAGGAGCCCAGCTTCCGTCACAGCTCAGTAAACCAACCACTCCCTGGAATGGGGAGGGGGCTGCCTGAGCAGTGAGCGGTTTACTCCCGAGCATATTGTGTTGGGGCCCCAGAGGCCATCTTAGCAGCAGTGGAAGAAAGAGAAGGCTTGTACTGGGGCCACAGGACAGACAACCTGCTCTTGGGGACCCTGGAGACAAGGAGCTGGGATGAAGCCACAAAGACTCAGATGAACAGTCAGAGATGCAGGGAGTGTTGTTAATGGTTTAGCAAAGACATGGAGAGAATTAATGAGCAGAGACGACAGGAAATCACTGTGGGGCCAAGACCATTCTGCTTCTTCACTAATGACTTTGGGAGGGGGCTAGGGAGGAGGGTGTTAATTAGATGTGAGAGACTGGAGGAGGGGTGAGAGGAAAGTGGCAGCCAAGATGGATGAGGTGATCTACAATTCAACTAGGTTGCAGCAGCCACGGGGTCTGAAATCAAGGACACACACCCAGGTTTTGAAGGCCAGGTGGCTCACAGAGGTTGACACTGTCAGGGTGGCTGTTTCCCTGTGGAAGGGTCACGCAAGTATGGGTACCCCAGCAGAGTGGACCCCACCTGACTGAGCCTCACCTCTCCCTTACAGCTCTCTGCACATTTCTATGGAAATGGATAAGAAGGAATGGAGAACAAGGAGTTTCCAACCAGGAACCCAAAGCAAAGGGAAACTAGAGGAGACACCCTTGCCCAAAGGTGTATGACTGTAAACCAGAAAAGTTAAAAATATAAGCTGAGCCTACCGATGGGTTTAATGGGTCTTCGACTCAGCTGGAGAGGTGAGAGGTGGAAGGAAGGAAGAGCTGCCAGGAGATGGGAGCCCTAAGAGATGCCTGGGGTGAGAACAAAGGCATTCTTCTGAGCAGGGGTGTTAATGGGTGCTGGCAGAGTGAGGACACAGTGGCAGGGGACTCTGTGACACTGGTGTTTCCTAATGGAGCTCGCTGGGCTGGCTGGTGTCTGGCTGGAGCAGCGGGGTTCCTGTCCTAGGGGCACTCAGCTCCTCTCCATTGGCCATGGGAAGAGTGCACTTCAGAGTTTGCATCTGCTTTATCCTTTTGTTGGGGGAAGAACCGACAAAACACATGCAGAGGGAGTTGGGCTGCAGCACAATACATGGCACACGGCACACGCTCATAAGTGTTTGCAGGATGGATGAATTCAGGGGAAAAGAGAATAAAAAAGAAGGCAGCAATTTACCCCACCGGCTATTTCTCTTTCTGTAGATGTCCTCATCTGTCCCACCAGCACACACATATACAACACATATACAACAGTGGCTACTGAAGGGGTTAATCCATTATGTGGTTAATTGGTTACTGTCTATATCTATAACTCTTGTAGCATCCAGCTCTCGGTACCAAGGAAGCCTGATACCAAAGCAGCAGCTTCCTCCCACCCATCGTCATGGAATCACCAAAAGAGTCAGACAACACAAGGTGAAGGGCACCACGAGGAAGAGATTTCAGGGCAGGAGGGCTCTAGTGTCAGGTTGGCGAATCTGTCGAGAGCTGGGAACCCTGGGATTATGTGGAAGAGGTCCCAGCTCAGTTGGCGCACTCCTTCTACGCAGGGACAAAATCTGCAGAAACCAATCTGGGACCCCGTGGACATTTAATTCACACCATAGCATGCAGCACCACAAGCACACATGAACAGCAAAGCATTAAGTATGGGAGGGAGGAGCAAGGAGCACCAAGTCCCACTGTGGGTGCCTTGACACGCTGTAGCTGTGACTATAAAAAGGTTATAGCAATACTTCATTTGTAGGATGTGGGACCACAGAATTATCCCAAAGGAGAAGAAGCTACTGGGAAACAAGCCAAAGTTCAAAAATATAGGGAAGAACATCCTAAAAGTCAGAGGTAATAATCAGGACCGCCATTTGGTGAGCATTCATTATGGGCCACGCGCTGTGCTAACAGCTCTATCTAGACATCGGCATCATGTTTAATCCTCATGACAACCTGGGGTATTACTTCCATTTTCAGCAGAGGAAACTGAGGCCCAGTGGAGTCAAGAGACTCGCCCAAGGTCACAAGCCAGTTATGTTTGGATTCTGGACCATTTAGCACCAAAGCCTGTGCTCTACCATCTACTCTACATTGCCTCTCTCTCTCCAGACGGACAGGGCGCCCCACTGTCCCCACTTCTGATAGTCAGCTCTGAGGATCTCCTTCCTGCTCAAACCAAAGAAAACCAAATCCAAGGCAAAGGAGGTGAAGGAGAAAGATACTTTTGACTTAGTGAGCTGCTGTGGTGAAACTCTTCCACTACGCTTTCCTCAAATGCCGTTCTCACTGTCCCAGCTAAGACTCCAGCCCTCCTTGGCGGCTAGTAAATAAACCCAGGCCCAAGCTGGAAAAAAAAGCAGCTGGATTGAGAATTAAGAGGCTCCAAAGCCATCTCAACTGGACTCTTAAGGCCATGGAAAGCTTGAAGAGGAGTCAGGGTGACACATGGTACCCTTAAGGGATGAGAAGGTTGGACCCAGAGGAGAGGTTACGAAGAAACATGGTCAGCTGCAGCAGGAGGGATTCACGTGAAAATTTATGAAGGAAAAGCCAGCTGCTGGCTTTGGGAGCCACTGCTCCCAAGGGAGGGTGGCTAATGTCTTTCCCTGAAGAAGTAGTTCAGAAGAATCTCGGAGACAAAGGTGATTACTATATGAGACTCTGTGAGATTCAAATGGTGGAAGATGACAATCCTCAGTGTCACAGGACACCCTCTCTTTTACCCTGGAGGTGAGGATCCCTGTCCTGATGTTGCTTCTCTTACTCTCTCCCTGATCTTCAGGGCTGGGGTCAGACCTAAAGCCTGATCAAACTCAGAATCCAGATGCTAAAGCTCGTTCCTGTGTGGATTCAGGAGGAGCTTCCCAGGTGGGCCCATCTGACCTCGAGCCCGAGGACGGACTCCTCTCTTGCTCTCACAAGCTAAGGCTCAAGAGTGGGCCCATGGGTTTCTAGGGGAATCTGGCCAGCAGGGGGACATCAGGAGATGACACCGTCTCAACCACCTTGGCTTTAAAGTGCCAGCGAAAAATGCCTCGACTGTCTCCTGCGAGAGGAAAGGTCAAGATTGCTGAAAACCTGACTTGCTCCCCTCTGTCAAGTGTTGTGTGTTAGCAGAAGAGAGTTCAATCAATCAGATGGATCTGAGAAACTTTGCCAAAAACAGCTTTTAGGAGCAGCTGGATCCTCCATTTGCTGCTTTCGATTCTCAGATTTGAAAACTCACAGGGCTGGATTCCCGGCACCTCCTCTACCTCTCTGGCTGTAGGAACGGCTGACCAAACAACCCCAGAAGATGAGAAGAACTCTGAGTCTAGTAATATTTGATAGCTTCCACTCCAGGAAATCTCCTCCACAGTCTGATCTAAATCCCTCATGTTCTTAGCACAGCTCAGGATCTGAACAGCTTTTGGTTCTCTCGTCTGCTCTAAAATTTCTTGTTCTGTAGCACTTTCTTCCCATAATTGTGCCTGCCTTTCTCCCCCGGGCTCCTCTTCAAGTTCTCTATGTCCCTCCTAATTTCAGAAGCACAGACAATTATCCTTGACACAGTCAACACTAAACCATTCTCTTTAATACCAATAATGGGTAACATTTATTAATCATTGACATGTGTCCAACATCAAACTGGGAACCATACGCACCTTATCCTGTTTCATCTTCACAATAATCCTACAAGGCAGGTAACATACCCATTTTGCAGGTGAGGAGATTAAAGTTCTGACACACTAAGTGACTTGCCCAAGGTCTCTCAACGGCACATCCTGGAGCCTGAGTTTAATTCAAGGCAGTCTATCTCAGAGGGCACACTCCCAACTTCCCGTCTCCTTGCCTGGGTGAACGCTAAGTGGCAAGTTACAATCTCAGACCAGCTTCCCTCTGCCGCTCAGCAGGTCAGGGGGCATCTGGCATATGTTCAGAGGATACCAAACCACCGTAGAAATCACTAGAACAAAAATGTAACTATGGGGTGGCTCTACTGCTACAAAGAGAGATGCCATATTTCAAAGTCAAGCAAAAAAATGCCAGTGGGCACTTTTCATCGCACTGTGTCTCCCTGCCCGGCTCCCTGCACTCAGGAAGGACCTTCTTTTCCTTTCTTCCTTTTCACTTCCTATTTCTTTCTAGAAGCATTCAACCTAGCTGTCCTTTGTTTACATCCTTTCCAGCTAGCTTTCCACGTGGTCAGCCCCGTTCTGCCTTGGATTGAGGAGAAGGGGTCAATCTCCACATGAGCTCTTGTGAGCTCTGCTTGGTTTCATAGTTCCAGATGGTTCTTATAACCCTTACCTTTCACTTGTAATAACATCTGCCACTGGTCACAAGCCCGTTTAAGCAGCTGGAATCACTTTAACTTACCCTATTGATAAAACAACGCTATGTGCATGTCCACTGAATGGTTTATCTCCTATAAAGCGAGGAGCTTGGACCTTCTGGCTCTGATACACTCCAGCTTTAAGAATACTTCCATAATAGATTACCTAGAATCCAATTTAGAAAAAGGCACATTCCACACCAGTGCCCTGGGGCTCCTGACACAATGGTGGTTGGCCCCGTTATTTTGAAAACAGAGAATGCCCAGAATCCAATAAAGGTGCCTGCTTCCTCGGCAGTAAATCTCTTTGGCAGGACCTCAGCGTGGCTCTGGCTGCCTGGTGCCAAGTTAGAGCCTCCGCATCTCCCCCTGGCTCTCGCTCCCTCATCCCATCCCCCACTCGAGACACCATCATTGTTTATGTCAGCACATCACAATACAGACACTTCCCGTCTATCATTCTTATATATCTGAGCTCGCAATGAGCCCCCTGGGGACCTGCAGCCTCAGCTTCCGAGGTATAACTGATGATGGGGGCCAGCTGCCTCGCCAGAGCCAGCAAATGATGATTCCTCTGGCTGCTCAAGGAAAAACAAGACACTCTTGAGCCATGGTAGGGGGTGGTGACTCAGGTGTGGAAATAGACCATTACTCTCCTAATCAGCTTGAGCAACCAGTTGTGTGATGAGTTAGGAATATGCCTCATGGAAATTGTTCCATGACTTGCAAGTGTGTGTAGTGGTGGGCACTGAGTTTGTGTGCACTCCCAGAGGAGAGAAGAGGCCCAGGTGATGGAGTACAATGGACGGTCCACTTCATTTATATTCACCTTGAAAGAGAACTCAGAGCTGGACCCTTAATCATCTTTCCCAGACGGATTTTAAAGAGACATGGGGCCTGTGAAATGGTACCCCCACAAACCAAGACTACACTACAACACAGGCAATTCACATCCAGACACTTAGGAGTTAACTAAACACACACTACAAAGCTTTCTGTGCTCTTAAACCACTAATAGGAATGAGACTTTCTGCTTCCTCCTCACTGTGGGAACTCACCTAGCCTCGGATAGTCTTCATCCATCCACCACCGATTCCTAAGTTTCTATTGAACTCCTCAAGCAGCTCACTGGAAATCCTACCCTGGTTTGAACAACTTGCCCAGAATTCAGCAACTGGAGGCTTGCACACCACCAGCCACCTCAAACTTCCAAACTGGCCACGGTCCTCTTGGCGAGCAGCGGTCTGGAGGTGGCCCCTTGGCACCCTGGCCTGGCCAATGGTCAGACTTGCCACTCAGCATGAGTTAATGACATGATATCAGTGAAGTTAGGCAAACTGGGGTTAGGACAGGCAAGGTTATCCCAGGTTACCGCGGCGACTCACCACTGTACATGTCAGGGTGGTTTCTTAAGGACGAGTCATTATAGGGGTGGTCTGCAATAAACAAAAGAGGGTGAGCAAACAGGAGGCCACAGAGAGGCTGCGGAGGCATAAACAGGGAGAGAACAAACAGAAACGCAAAGCCACAAAAACAACCAGGGAGAGCACCGGTGGCCTTTTGCAAAGGAAAGACATGGCATATTTGGAAAGGAAATATGCTTGGTGAAGAACAAGCAACACAAAATAGCCCAAAAAAGGGAAGAAAAGGTTAAATCCTGCAAAAGAAGGCAATAATAAGTTTCTTTTTTAATTAAAAAAATTAGGCTTGACCTTTAATTGCTTGGTCCTACTATATTTTCAAACAAAAGAGATAAGGATTAGTGGTATCCCAAAGCAGTCTTTTGAACAACTCCTTCCCATCAAAATCCTCAGTTCCCAGGACTCTGGATAAGCCCAGGTCCTGGTGTGGCTAAAGAGAAAGGGGTGTCAGCGAGCCCTGGGGAAAGGGCACAGCCCTACCTGGGCAGAAGCTAAGGAGTAAATGAGAGGAGCAGACGGTCTAAGGGAAAGAGTCGTCGGCAAGAAGAGGGACACAGGGACCCTTGGCAGCACCCAGCAATCGTGTGCCGCCCAGCAACAAGCACCACCCCCAACCCGACCGGGTGGGCAGCACCCTGGTCTCCGAGACGCATCTGTTGGCAGAAAGGCCTCCTTCTGAGGAGGCTAGGAGCGGTCAAGGGAGGCAGGGAGAGAGAGGCTTGAGGTTCAGATTTGGGGATTAGAAAGAGAGCCTGGGACAGGAGCGAGAGTGTGTGAGCTGTGAGTTCTACACTTTGGACTGGGAAAGGCCTGCTGGCTAAGCTGGAGATTCAGAGCTCTCTAGACTGGCTTGAGGGTGAAGACATTCTTTAAGGAGCAAGACCAGTGGCCTTGGTTCCAACGTTAGGTAATTAAAACCCTTAGGCATTTAATAATCCTCAGTGAGAAGGACATTTTGGAATAGGGCACATAACCATGCCAACATCCTTAAACAGTTTTTCACTCTTCTACCACTGTCCTCTTTCAGCTATGGGGTTCAAGTTCTGACAGTACCAACAGGGGGTGGGGGGTGGGACAGCTGACTGGAAGCCAAGCAGACAGCCTGGAGAAGCCAGGAACAGGGTCCAACTGCCTGAGGGAGGAGGGGTGCAATGCCAGAACGTTGCATATTTGAAGACAGATCGAATCCTGTTACAACTGACTGCTGGAGGCTATGTGAGCTTTTTTCTGGGTCCTGCATTGCATTGCATCCCAAATCTGCTTCACACCCTGCAGGAAGATTTTCATTACTCAGAACTATCCCTTAAGATGGGGTGTGCTGTAAAATATCTGGCCTGCATTTGGGAGTTGGCTGGGGTTTATCTGGAGCTAAGGTTGGGAACTGACCTGTAAGAGGAGTGAAGAGGCACTTGGGAGGTGCCGCTCCTCTCCTGGGGGGTGGGGCGCACACCTGAAGGGGCCCTTGTTTCATGCCCCCACGCTCCCCTGCCACCAGGTGAAACAGAACCTATCTCTTTCCAGAGAAGTGAGGCAAGCTCGGAACTGACCTCCCAGTTTGTGGATCCTGCACATCTGAGAAATTCAGGGAGACCTTCTGACTCTTCTAAGAAGGTCACTTAGACAACAGCCATTACAAGGAAGCAGGGTTAGTGCTCCACATCTGCCTCAGGGAGAACCTCCTCCATCATCATGGATGCCTCTCATTTGGCAGAGGCATCAGGAGGGGACCAGGACCTGTGCTGGCGTGGGCACAGTGGGACAGGCCCATCTTTGCTGGCCAGACTCCACTGTTGGTCTGTGCATCCCAAAACAAATTCTAAAAATGACTGTAGATTGCCGAATATCTTGTCTTGGATACTTTTCTCCCCTTCCTTTAATGAAGGTAATGCAAAGCTGGCTGTGATGAGATTTATTTCTTCCCCAATGGGCAAACTGTGACAGAAACCCCAGGTGAGACCCGAGTCATTGAAGCTGTCCCAACTCGTCTGTTTTGCCTCCCACCCCCAGACCTGGTTCTGAAGACACAAGAGAAAGCCTGTGTCCTTTCCAGGCAGGCAAGTAGAGAGAGCACCACTGTGCTATTTTAAGCAACTGTGCCCAGTTCCGGGCTGCCTTGGATGCCCAGAACTTGCTCAGGCCAAAGCAGCGCTGGAAGAACTCCAGGAGGCCACCAGGGTTCTGTTCCCACCACCTAGGGGGTTTCTCAGCACTCAGAGGAAAGAGTTTTCAGTGGAGTAGCGGACCCAGAAATGAAGCAGAAACGAATATCCCTTACTGCCTCTGGTAGAGAAAAGGATGTTTCTGGAAAGCCCAACTTCTAAATGTTGTTGAAACCTCTAACAGCTTAATTCCACAGAGGAAGGCTCTTCACCACCTCCATCTCCCTGCCTCTCCCCCGTGTGGCAGTGAGGGACTCTACCCAGGACCTCAGAAGGTCACCTGAGTCAGTCCCCAAACAGCAGGCTGACCTCAAGCATTGCCCCGGGCAGGGAGAGAGGATCCAGGTGATGGCACTGAGGGCCGTCCAGGGATCGGCTCAGTGCGCAGCCTGCTCTTGACATCCCTGCCCCTCCCACAGCCCAACGCTGCCAGCCCTGTCCTGGCTCTGGAGGCCACTGAGGTCCTGGGCAGACCACACTGTCCTCCCAGCTCAGCCAGCTGGCAGGTGGTCACCCCTGACTGCACTGAGGAGACACTTTAGACAACCCAACTTTCTTCTCCAGGTCCTCTCCGGGCCTGGGTCCTGAATAAGGAAGCAGGGAGGGGCAGCAAGCAGCCTGAAGCTGGGTGACCCTGCCAGGAACACGCTGGCTTGTCCCTGTGTTTCTGGCCATCCTGTTGGTACCCAAATTACAGGCAGCTTGACAGCAGCCCAGAACAGTGTGTGGGGAGCTGCAGAGGCAGACGGGGGAAGATAAGAGAGGGTAAAATGGGGTTCAAGGAGAGAGAGAGGAGAGGAGGCAAGAAGAAAGGAAAAAAGAGGGAAGGGAAATAGAGAGGAAGGATGTAAAAAAGAAAAGGGAAGAAAATGAAGAGAAAGGAAAAAAAGAGAAAAACCCCACCACAGGAGAAGGGGACCAGGAAGCAAGCTGCTTCTTGTGGATCCACCTTGATGCCATGGTGGAAACGGAGTGTGGGGCTGGGCCGACTCAGCACACCTGTTTCCATCATCGGCAGGGACTGGTGAGGAAAGACAGCAGAGGGGCTCAGGCTCCCACCTGTCCCGAGTGAGGAGTGGGCTCGCCCGAGCCTCCCGCCGCCTCCCGGAGGCACTGTCAACCACCTGTGGGCGAATGGGCTCCGGGAAGCCGGGGTCAGCCTCTTTCCTCCGACCTGTGGAAGCTGCCAGCACCCACGTGGTGCCCTTTGCCTGGCCTCCACACAATCACCAGTGTCCACAGTGTTAAAAACAACATTCACAGCTGAATCAGACAGATTTAAGTCTTTAGGGGTCGCTTCTATGGAAGGCATGTTACAAGTCCACGGTGGAAACACCACAGCCACTTGCAATGTCCTGAGGCTGAGGACTCTGCAACCACAGCTCCAGGCCAGCGGGTCCCTGACAAGAAGTGTCTCTGAACTGACTCGCTTCTCTCTCTCCTCCACGGAGGGCCACCACACTACAGTGAGTCAGGCAATGCGGGTTCACTTTGGTACCAGCCACACAGAATCAGGAAATAAAAACAAAAACAGATGAAACTAAAACATAAACCTGCAATGTGCAAACACAGTGATTCTCTATGGTCCAGAATATACATATTACAGAATCAAATATAATTCACGATGGTGCACCCACTAATTTGGATATTCTATGCTATGGCTTTACTCTAGGCATAAAGATAACCAAACAATGGCTAGAAGTAAAAGAAATAACCAAGCTGAGTGCGTGAGAGAGATGCTGATGACCACTGAAAACAGTGCTTCTTAAATTCTGGTGGGTGTCCAAACCACCGGGAGAGCTAATGAAGGACAAAGGCAGGCACTGCCGAGGCAGGACAGGCCAGGTGTGGGGATGGCTGCCAAGTTCGCCAGGTGATTCAATTCCCACCAAAGTCTGAGAAGCACTGCCTTAGAGTAGGACCAAGGTTAACTCAAGGCTTCAGAATCAAGAGCAGCTGAAGTAGCTCAGGCACGGGCTGAAGGATTTCTAGGTCAGCCTCGGGGACAAGTCTCCCTCAGACCCAGGTACCCAGGGCTGCTTGGGCTAGGTGGGCTGCCACCCCGGCCCCAGCCCTGGGCGGGGGCCTGCACTCACTGGTGAGGACTTTGAGGGTGAAGGCGTTCTTCTGCTGGATGGTGTGTGTGAAGTGGAAGCGGGCGTTGCAGCTGTAGTCCGTCTGCATGTCCTGCAGCAGCACGTTGGAGAAGTAGAGGTCCCCATTATGGCCTTGGGAGACACGCTTGTCTTGCGTGATGGGGTCCATGGCTACAAGGAAGCAGAGATGCAGTGGAAGGCTGGCAGTAACGAGAACAGTAATAATAATCATGATGGTTCTGGCCACTGAACACTTACAGAAGGCCAGGTGGGGGCCAGGAGCTCGACATTGTTTGGTCTAATCCTCTCAACTCTGGGCGGGGGCTTATTCCCATTTTACAGATAAGAAAGCAGAGGATTTAAATGTCCTGGGTTGCTAAACCAGTGAGGGAAGACTAGGATTTAGATTCAGACCTGTCCACCACACCCATGCTCTATGACCACACGTTTCCATCTCCTGCTCGAGCCACAGAAGATCTGATTGACCCCGAGGCCAAAGGGAGAGGACACCAGCCTCCAAATGCTCCTCAGATTGGGAGTCAAAGTCAACTGTTTTACTTTTAAGCACCCTCCTCCAAGAAAGAAAAAAGCACTACCAATTATAAGATGCATATCAATCGATGCACACCATCAATTTTAGGATGCCTTCCAATTTTAGAGATGTTAAAACGTGAAAATGTGTACTTTTTAGAATTAATGACATCATAGGAGTGGCTGAGAATGCTGACTACATTATCTATATTTTTTCTTGCAAGCACTGCATCTGATGTAAACTTCTAAGACCAGGTTTCCAGGCTGTCAGGTTTGTAAAAATATACTTCTAACGCTGACTGCTCACAGTTAACTCCTGCTCTCTCTCACGACTGTTTCTAAATTCACCATTTCTTAAAGGATACGTTAACAATGCCAATTTTCCAATGATGGGCTGGTCAGCTCTTCCAACCATTTATTAACGATTTACTGTAGGCCTACTATGTGCTAGGCACTGTGCTAGGTACTGGTGAAATAGAGATGAATAAGAAGGACAGTTTCCTGCCCTCAAAGAGCCTGCAGTCTAGCAGAAGAGACAGTAGATAAATAAGTAATTCCAACGCAGTGTGGCGAGTGGGAAGCCCCAGATAAGAAGCAGAGGAGCGGAGAGGAGGGGCACTCGTCCACTCTTGGGGCCTTGAGCTGAGGCTTGAAGGCTGCGTGACATTTACCAGGCAGAAGACAAAGAGGAGCTAAGAGGTCTCTGAGCAGCAGGAACAGCGTGTGCTACAGGTAAGAGCACATGGTCGGGGCTGGGGGTAGGAGGAGGGCGGCAGGGGCAGAGGGGACCAGAGCAGGAGCGAACTGTGTGCCAGAGAAAGGAGTCTGGCCTTTTTCCAAGGTGATGGAGGAGCCAAGGAAGGGCATTGAGCATATGAATGAAACGATCAGATTTGTGTTTTTAGAAAGACCAACGAGCCCAAGCAGCCTCTCTCTGCTGAGCCTGCGTGCTCAGCCGCGTGGCCACCTTACATCTGCTGCTCACAAGTCAGGGTCTTCCAGCCTTGGGCAAGCCCTCCCCGTTTAACACACCCACCCCATTCCCTAAGATTAAAACAGAAATACGACACCAGGACCCGAGACTTACTGCTGCTCATCCAGAAGATGACTGGGGATGGAAGTCCCGGTGGGGGATTACACTGGAGCGTCAAGGGGGCGCCTTCTTGAACCACGACAGGGTCTAGGTTTTCCTTGGGCCACAGGGGCGATTCTGGGGAGAAACAGACAGAGGAGGACAAAATGAGGGTGATGGCTGGGGCCAGGGCACGGAGCAGGGTTAGAGGCAGGCGTGCAAGGAGAGGAAAGAGGAGAGACGGGAGAACAAGGGAGGCAGCAGAGAGGAACAGGCCTGCCAGTCTAAGCGAGGTGCAGCCCTTGAGAGGCAGAGGAGAGAGGCCTTTTGTCTGAATGGATGCACATCTTCAAAGGCTCCTTTCCCTCCCCTCCCCCTGTTCCAGAGTGGCCAGGGAAGTTGTTCAAGACTGGTTTGGAAGCTTCCTTGCCTAGGAATCTTTTTGAGTTGAGGGAGGCGCGCCCCTGCTCAGAATCAGAAAAGCAAGCAGCACATGCAGGACGCCTAGGCACCAACAGGCCAAGGGCAGGGCCGGCCCTTCTGGAACGACCCCCATGCCCTCCCTCCATTTACCCAGGAGCAGGGATCTCAGCCCTGCCCCAGGCTACTCACTGGACACCTGCAGGCGGATCCTATTGGATAGGGCCGTGCCGAATTTGTTGCGGGCGAAGCACTGGTACTCCCCCTCGTACTCCTCTGGCCGCCCGCCACTCCGGAAGTCGATCACCAGGGTCCCAGACCTCCTCTTCATTGACACCCGGGGGTCCTTGGCGATGTTGAAGAACCTGCTGTTGCGAGTCCAGTGGAAGCTGTGGACACGAGGGGCAGGGACAATGAAGAGTAACAGGCAGGCGGGCTCTGGGCTCCAGGTCAGACTCGCAGGGCCTCCCTGATCCAGTCCCATAACCACACCTCCATCCCAGGGGGTCCCAGCCCCGGCTGAGCAACAGAACCATCTGGGAAGCCTGATAAAATGCAGAGTCCCAGGTCCCACCCAGGTGACTCTCCAGGGGCAGGTCCCTGATATTAGAACTTGTACCAGCCAAGGCTCTAAGTGGCAGATACCCAAGTAGCCCTGGGAGATTATGTTCTTTGGAGGAGTAAGCAGATATTTTGATTTTTTAAAATCCTAGGTCAGCTACTGCTTCCACCCCCAGGCATTCCCAGGCCCCGACTAGGAATGCAAACCCAAATTCATATTTCCCCCAACCCAGCGCATCAGGGAGCGGGCTCTGCTCCTCCTGCCTCCTTATTTGATAATCCGACTCTAAAACCAAAGTGAAATGGCTCAGGTTACCTGTGCCCCTACTCATGGGTGTAGATTATAGAACAGGGCCACACATGAGAGCCCAGGCGGGGCAGCTTGGAAAGAAAAAGCAGACAATAAAACTGAGCCCCGGAGCGAAGAGACTAGAACATCCCTCTGCTTCTCCCGGGCAATGTGTTTCTGCGGCTGCCAGGACATAACCTTAAAAGAAGCAGGAGCAGTAGTGGCTGCTCAGTGTCACAGAGTCACTGCCCCAAAAAGGGACCACGGGAGAAAGACCAAACCTCAGAAGCAAGGTCACCTATGCCCTGCCTGACCCTTCAGGGTGACCCCTGCTTCTCGCACTGAGGGCAAGAGGCCCTGCCAGTTCCTGGGCGACCGTCTCATGCAGACCTGGCAGTGGGACAGAAGAAGGCTGCCACACACATGAGGCTCCGCCCTGCCTCCTTTCTCCTGCTGACACACACACACTACATGGGGTCCTGTCACGTCTGGGTCCGAATCTGGCACCAGGCTCCTGAAGAGTCCAGCCTGTGGATGCAGCTTTGAAGATGGGAGACGGACAGCGTAACTTCTCCCTATCTCCAGGGCTTACCATTTGGTAGAGGGGTGTCAGAAGCCTGGGTTCAAATCCAGCTTCTGCCCCTTTCAAGCTGGGTAACCTTGGCAAAGGTACCTAATATCTCTGTGCCTCCATTTCACTTCCTCTTCAGGAGGACATGGGTCCTTCCCGAAGGGCAGTGAGGCAGTCGCAGATGACGGTGTGAGGAACAACACTAACAAGAGCCTGGCACACAGCAGGCTTGCAACTCGTGTCTGCTGACATCTCAGGAGATGCTGATGTCCAAGCAGAGACACGCTCGGAATGACAGACTCAAGTTAGCCAGGAAGAGGAACTTCCTATCATCTAAGCATGGGGATGATGGAAACATAAGGCAGTGGGAAGAATGTCACACTGAAGGTCAGAAAACCTCCTATCTGGTCCTGGCATTCTGGTTTGACCTTAAGCCACTAAAGTCTTCTGGCCCCCAGTTTCCTTACCAGCTAAATTTTCTCGTTGTCCAAACTGTCCCTTCCACCAAAGTGGATAAATCTTGAAAGGATAAGTCTAATTTCTCAGCTGCCTCAATTATCCTCAGGCCCAGGGGCAGGCGCTGGTTTAAACGCCCTGTTTGCAGGCCCCTTTCCCTCCACCCTGCTCGGGTGTCCCTGGCAGCAGGCTCACCTGGGGGCGGGGTTCCCCTTTGCTTCACACTCAATCAAGATGTTATCCCGGGGATCCACGATGTGGTCCTTCACCGACTGCTTGGTGATGGTCGGGGGCTGGGACACTGCAACAGTGCACACGTGGGTGGTCAGGGCTGCAGGGACCTGCCCGGGGCCCTGGCTTGGGGAACGGCTGAAATGAAGAGCTCCAGGAGCCACACGGACAAGCAGGCAAGCAGGGTGTGGACAGTGCCCAGCTCGAGGGACACTGCTCCTTAAAGGGGGCAGCAGGAGAGCGGGTGTGTGTCAGAGACTAAGCATAAGAAGAATCCCTTTAAGACCGCATAGTATCCCCCATAGTGGGAAACTGAAGGCCAGGCTTTTGTCTTACCCATTCTCATATCCCAACACACAGCACCACGCCTAGTGCACAGTAGTTCTTGATAAGTGTCTGTTGAATGGATAAAGGAACGAAAAGCAGCTAGATTTCCAGAACCTAGTGGTCACAATGGTTCTGAACCCTGGAGGGTCAACAGATGGCCAAATCGTGGTGAGGCTGGAGCCGAAAGAGGCTTTAGTCCCAAGAGGACTTCCCAGGGACTTGTCTGCATGCCAAAGAGCCAGCTCCTCTCTCTCCATCCTGGGCTCCTGTGCCAGCCACCTGAGGATGGGGGAGCAGTGGCCCTTCTTACCCACCTGCTCCTCTGCCTTTCCCAACAATGGATGCTCTGGGTGAGCCTCTTCCCTTTCTGTGTGGTAAGGGACCTCACTACAGGGCTCCGGGGTCAAGAAGGCCGAGCAGGCAGGTGGAGAGGCCACGAATCCCTAGGGAGCTCCTCACCTGGCCTTCTCCCACCCCTCCTACCTCCCAGAGGCACTTACGCTCATTCTGAATGCTTGCTGTTAGTTCCGATGGGTTAGCGTTGCGAAGGGGAGAAAAGAAGACATCAGTTACTGGTTATTGGTTATCAGGCATGACTAATCGCCTAGGTATCCTCACGCCCCAGAATGCAGGGAGAGGGGTGAGGTGGGTGTGGGGGTGTCCCTGTGCAGGGGCTCGCTCCTCCCAGCTGCAGAGCTCAGTGGAAGAGCCAAGCAGGGGTGGGGCCACACCCACTGAACGCATGAACCCAGCCACGGAGAAGATGACACCTCTCCGGGGAGATCAAACCACACAGTTGAGACCAGCTTCTGACCAAATGACGCTGCAGGTGAGTCCAAATATCAGAAGTGACAATGCTGCCTGAAAGGGGCCGGGCTCTGGAGATGCCGCCGTCACCTCTAGACGCCATCAAGGGAAGTGGGTTCCTTGGCCAACGGTGCCAGGGAGGGTGTGGATCTGACCACTGCCACAGGGCAAAGCTCCAGGGGCCCAGCCAGGCCCACAGGCCTCACTCTTCCCACGGCACCTTCTTCCCTCACCGTCTCCTCCTTTCCCTTCCTTTGGAAAACTCTAGGGACAGATGAATCGTCGTTGCCCCGCTCACGGCAGAAGTACATGGCCCTCTGGAGATCCCGCTTCTGAACACTGTGGGGATGAAACCGAGCCCACCGCTCCTTTCTGTGCTTTTCACAAAGGGGGTCAAGGGGCAGGTGGCACAACTCTTCCCCAGCCCTCACCTGAGATGAGGGCTCCTGTACAGGTGTCTGCATGTTTGAGGGTCGGGCTTCTCAAACTTTGACAAGCATATGAATCACCTGGGGGGTCTGGCTAAAATGCAGGCTCTGATTCAGGAGATGCTGCATCTCTGACAAGCAGCCAGGCAATGCTGATGCTGGTGGTCTGTGGACTACGCTTTGAGTAGAAAGGTTTTAGATGTATGTTCTTTGTGGGGACAAGGTCTTGGTTAACATTTGTCTGCAGAAAAGAGAACGTGTTGCTGTAACTTTTTAAGATGTCTTTTCCTGATGATTACATGAGAAAGTGACTTGCCACTCTTATTTCATGCTGGCACAGATGTCAGATACTGTGCTGGTGCTGTGGGCTGACCTTTTCAGAGTGAGGGCTCCTGGCGGAAGCAGAAGCTGCTGGTGAGCCATGGTGACCTAGAGGCTTTCTAACTTGACCACAGTGAGGTGTGGAAGAGGAGTTTAGGGGCTCAGGGAGGGGGCAGCCTAGCGAGTGCAGAGTTAAGACAGGACCGAGAGATGCAGGAAGAGTCACGAGAGAGCGAAGACAGACATCAGGGAAGAGAGGTGGAGTGTGGCAGGAATAGGGCCCTACCACACACGCTGTCAGTAGTGACAGTCTTGAGAGTAAGATCCACAAAAAGGTTCAAAACAATTCTTTCAGGCAGGCCAGCGTTGTGTGGCCTGCTGGAACACTGAAGAGAAATTCTGTCTGCTTTACCATTTGCCTAGGGTCCTGGGCAGGAGACAAAAAGGGAAGAAAAGTCCAGGGGAAAAGCAGAAATCTATGGTTTCTGAACACATGCTCTATGGAGCTCCCCACTGCAGCATCTTCATCCACATGTGATTTTCCTGCTAGGAAAACCAAGAGAGGTCATTCTGAGGAGCCAGCGGGGTTGGCATGAAGGGGAGGGGGAGAGGGGCCATTTTCAGGAGAGGCAAGGCTGACACCTAACCCACTTTTTCTGACCACCAGCCCAGGCCCTTGTTTTCTTCATCTCAAGACACAGCTGACGTGTCTTGGGTCCTCACATACAGTGGAGGGCTCTGTCCTTGCCCTGGATGGGAAGTCTGACAAAGGATCTCATTTGCCCATGTGGGCTTCAAGCCTCTCTTTTATGGGATCAAAGGCTGGTTCAATGGAAGGAGCCCCAGACATTGTTCAGGGACTCTCAAATTCTTGGAAGGGAAGTCACTCAGTTAAGGTCATGCAGGAAGTCTGTTACAGAACTGGAATGAGAACCAGCTCTCCTGCTGCCTGGTCCAGAGCTTTTTTCACAAATCCACTTCTCGGCCAGAGAAGTGAGTTGCCCAGGGCGGGCCTTGGCACTCTATTCTCCTTGACATCTTGGACAGAGGTGAGTGAGGGGCAAGACTCGGGGGGGAGACTCTCAGGACACTGTCCCCAGCCCCACATTGAAATCAGGCCACGGGCCTCTTGAGAAGCTACTTGCCTAAAGACGCAATGACATCTGCAGCCACCACTGTGCTACCAAGGAGTTTATTACAGGGACACAATCAATCCAGAAGACAAGCTACCACAGCGGGAAGACGGGGTGGGGGGGGCCGCCTGCCTAGGGACAACTCCCCGCCCCGCCCTCCTGTGTCACACCACCTGCCCTTTTCTCCTTCTATGGAACTGGCTGGATGACGTTGTCAAGTGGAGAATGAATTTGCTCTTTTGGTTTCCAAGGGGGAAGAATCTTCCAATGGGCTCTGCAGGGGGTGAGGCAGATGGCTGCCCAGTCTGCAAGCTTCCTTGATTCACGTACCTCTCTTCTTTCCCTGGCTCTGATATCTACAGCACCAGCACCCATCCTTTGAAGGATGGAGTGTGTGTATGTGGCAGGGGTTGGGGGGCTGTTGTTGTTGAGGCCATCCTGCAGCACTACTTGGGATGACGGTGAGGAGGAAATGTTTCTCCTACCCCACTGCCCTCCTCTGCAGGTTCCTTGGAGAAAAATGCCGAGTCTCTTGATGTGGGGCGGAGGATGGAGGGGCAAACTGTCAGCAGACTCACTTTTTGGCCAACCCACTCTGGTTGATGAGGCGACTCTTTGCTTTCTTCAAAGGTCACACTGTTCTCCTTGGGGCTGGTGATGAGCGGAGGGGCGAGTAGGAGGAGGGTGTGTATGACTCCATTGGCAGAGCAGTGGGAGCTGGAGGCCCGGGGCTTCAATGAGGGATTGTGTAGCAGCCCAGGGCTCTGCTCCAGGGAGCCTGCTGTGCCCAAACTCCCAACAGCAGAAGCAACTCCCCATCCTCAAGGCATGGATAACACCCCCCGAAGGGGCAAGAGAGTGGAAGGGCACACCTGGCAGGGCAGCCTCTGGCCTGAGCACCCAGGCCCTCCCAGCCAACACACAGGGCGAATTAAGAGTGCCTGATCTTAGGCTGTTTCCATGTCTTGGCTCTTGTGAATAATGCTGCAATGAACACAGGGGAGTAGATGTCTTTCCTGCCTTCTGGGACAACACGGAAGGCCCCTGCGGGCATTATGCTAAGTGGAATAAGTCAGACAGAGAAGGACAAATACTGTATGTTCTCACTTATATGTGGAATCTGAAAAAGTCAAACTCAAAGAAAAAGGGAGTAGAGTGGTGGGGGCTGGGGGCAGGGGACGTGGGGAGATGCTGGTCAAGGGGAACAAACTCCCAAATATAAGATGAGTAAGTGCTGGGGGTCTAATTACAGCACGGTGGCTATAATTAACAGTATTGTATTATATACTTGAAAGTTAAGAGAGTGGATCTTAAAAGTTATCACCACACACACACAAAGCTAATTATGTGAGGGGATGGATGTGCTAACTCAGCTTACTGTGCCAATTATTTAGCAACATATACGTGTATCAAATCACCACATTGTGCGCCATAAACTTACATGAGTTATGTGTCCATAATATCTCAATAAAGCTGGGGGGTAGAAAACAGAAGGCCTGGTCTTTCCCCAGCCCATTCCACTGGCCTCCGCCTGGGGAGAGACGGAGGGACGGGTGCGGATCACCTGGGAGGGAGAAGCCTGGCTGGAGAGGACTTCCTCCCAGGACACTAGGGCCTCTCTGAAGGGCTTCCCTTTCTCTGGTCTTGTGTTCAGCTCTTGTGGGCTCATTCTGGGTGTCGCCATGGCCACTGCGCCTGCAGCAACCAGGGGGGCGCAGTGCGTAGGAGGCACGCTCTGGGCAGGCGGCATGAGCTTCCTGTGGTGACACAGCGTGGGGCATGGGGAACGGTGCCACAGAAGGACCCACCTCTTCACTCAGAGAGGCGCTGTGGTCACATGCTGGCTCTGCCGCTTATGAGCTGGAGAAAACGGCCTTCTCTGCACCTCAGTTTTCTAACCTGTCAGCTACGGATGATACCTACTTCACGGATGAGCTGTGAGAATCACGGAGATGACACCTGTAAAGCACTTAGCTCTCTGCCAGGCATATAGCAGCTGCTATTCCACTGAGTTCCAAGAAGAACTAGAAGGAAGCAGCATGACCAGCGGTAGGGGCGGGGCATGTCGAGTGCCAAACTGGGGGCGGTCAAGAGACCTGAGTCCTTGTGACTCCATCGCCCATTTGCTGTGTGACCCTGAGTTTCCATGAAGGCAATACGGGAAGGCGGATCCTCCAGGCCCTCCTCATGGACACTGTGGTGGGGAGGCGGCAGGGGCGGGGGGGGTGGTGGTGGTGAAGGGGCAGTGGCGGGGAGGCCGCAGCACTTGCAGCTCTCTGCCCCCTGTGGCCGTACTTTGGACACACTGATTGCTTGGGCACCTGCCCGTGGCTCCAACAGAGCTTTAGAAATTCAGATCCCTAACACCGACCTATAGGTTCACCTTCAGGAACCCCTCACCCACTAGCCCCGGGGATCAAAGTGGCAGGCGAGTGAGTGAGGAGAAATGAGCCTTCACCACTTCCTTGATAACCCAATTTCCTCTGCACCCCCTCCTCCCCAGGGACGTGGCCTTATCATGCTCCTTATTAGACTGTCTGCCTGGGACTGTTAATGAGAGACTCTCCTCGAGCCAGCAGTGCAGATGGTCTCCATGGGAACGGCTCCTCTCACAACTCCCTTCTTCCCACTCTCTAAGTGTACACACACACACACACACACACACACACACACACTTGGGACTCCTGGGAAGGCAGCAGGAGCCTTGCCCATCTTGCTTCTGGGTCCAACTCATAGTTTCCATCGGCTTTCTCTCATCCCAAACTGCTCACTCCTCTGGGCAGTTATTATTCGTGAAGTGGGGTAAGAGGGGGCTAAGAAGACTGCAACTCTTCACTGGCTATGCTAATTCCAAGCCCCAGGGTCTGGCTTTGGAGAGCTCAGTGGGGACTTCTTGGAGGCTGTATTACCCTCCCACCCTCCCAGACATCCGTCACCTGGAGAGAGCCCAAGTCTACATTGGCATCATGTGGGTCCCATCTATTCCTGGAAGCAAGGATCAGGGACAGAGATGGTGTGCCCATATCATAGCACTGGGATGGCAAGATGTCCTGGGAGAAGTGTCAGAATTGTGACAAAGGTGGTACACACCTAAATGCAGGGCCAAAGAGCACAGCTGCCAGTCAATGGGCCATTTATGAATGTAACAACAGATGTGACTGGCGGAGACACGGCTGTTAGATTAGTATTCTGAGCCCCTTACTTTATGATTCTGATGGCCAAATCACACCTGTACTATGGGAAACCATGACATAGATTTTACTTTTCAACTTTACCATGGGAAAGCTGGAAACAAACAGAGGGAAGCAGTGCTTGGTTCTCCCACGGGGGCATTATGATGGGGCTCTACTTTAATGTCTCATTTAGCCACACTCTTTTGCAAAATAATCCCTTTCCCAACCCTCCCCAGGCCATCCATCCTCCTGATCAGTCCAGTCAAGAGGGCCTGAAGGGTCCAGTTCAGATATTGGAAAGGCAAATAAGAACTGCCCACTACACTCGGTCCCTGGAAACTCTGCTTCGAAGGGCAAGTCAAAACCACAGAGGCCCCTGGAGGGGAGTGGAGGGAAGAAGTCTCGAGTGACACTCAGACTTCCAAACTCTGCCACCTCTGGTCCTGTTCAGCAGGCTCCAGGCAGGCCAAGCACCAGCTCAGCCACAGCCCTGAGAGACCCCGCCACGACTTGGTCTCAGGTTCCCAAACATGAGCCCGCTGCACGAATTCTTTGGAGGGAAGCCCAGAATCCATGGCTTCCCCTCTCCCGAACCTTCTCAGAATGGTCTTAACTCTCCCCTGACCTCCCCTACCCTCAACTCCTCTGCCCTAAATCAGGAGAATAAAAGAAAAGGACGGAGCAGAACTCACGATCCATAGGAATCTCAATGGCCCCGCTGAGGCTGAGGAGGCAGAGGAGGAGGGTTGCATGGACCCAGGGTGGCAGCTGCTGCCAGGCCATCCTCAGCACTGGGCCCCGCTCCCTGCTCCCCAGCCCGCAGGGTCTGGCCGCCTCCAGCCGCTGTAACTGGGCCTCCTGGATAGCGCTCAGCTGTGGAAAGAAATACAACGATAAGTGAGGTTTTTTGAACTCATGGTTGTTCTAGCAATCCTACAGGGCCTGAAGGGTCTCCTCAAGGGTCCCCTTGGTCACAGACTGGTGTTCTAAAACAGGGTTTCTTAACCTTGTTCTATTGACATTTGGGACCCAACAATTCTTTGTGTGGGACACTGTCTTGGGTATTAATGTAGGATGGTTAGCAGCACCCCTGGCCTCTACTGACTAGATACCAGTAAAGCCCACTCCTGCCCCTAATCAAATACGTCTCTAGACATTATCAACCGTCCCCTGGAGGACAAAAACATCCCCAGTTGAGAACTACTATTCTGGAAGGAACGGCAGCTCTGCATATAACAGTCATGAGAACAAACACTGGCCCCTAGGCCCACATCTAGAGGACGCCACGCACTGGGCCAGTAAGAAACACACCAATCTTGCAGCTCCTCTGAACCACATGTCCTGAGTGGGCCTGGGGCTGAGTATGTTTGGGGTAGGGGCACAGAGACAAGATCACATTGCTGTCCTCTGACCCAGGGAGAGGGGGGCAGGGGGAAGACGCCAGGGGGGCAGGGGGAGAGAGGTGAGACTTGGTTGCCCAAGGATTTTTTCTTTTAAATGAATGACTTCTGTAGCTATTTTGCGCAGCTAAGGTGCGCCAGTCCCTGATGTTGTCCCTGTAGAGATAATGGCAGTGCCTGGCATCCCCAGGAGAAGGGGATGCTAGGGGGCTGGTAGAATGAGCAACATTATGACAGCCCAATGTTCACATCCTCAAGAAATCATTCCAGGGCCTACAGGGGGAGGGGTTAAACATGGCTGTCCAAGGAACCTGGAATGGGTTTTCCTTTTCCCTCCTCCTGGGAGAGAGGAGCAAGAATGACCTCGAGCTGACACTCACATACAGAGCTTGAAGATCGCCCAAGGTTCTGAAACACGGAGTCTTAAAAATTGGTCCAGTTTGCTGGTCCACCATGGGGTCAAGTCAAAGAGGACAGCAGGAGGTGGCATCCCCAGATTTCCTGGACTAATAGCCACCTACCAAAATGGACACACTGCTCTCCTATTCCTGCTCCATTTGGCAGCACCTTGAAGCCTGCTCTCCCCTGTACCCCCACCATCGCCCATCTCTCCTGACTGGGGGTGTAGGGTTGGGAGCGGGGCTCCAGGCTTGCTCCTGGGAGACAAGGTCATGCTTCTGAGACCTGGAGGAGGAGGATACCTCCCTTCTGCCAGGACATGAGGCAAGCTAAAGGATTCTGATTCAGATTTCAGCAGTTTCTTTCCTGGAAGCTGGGCCCAACACCAGCCCCCAACCGCAGGTACATTTCTGGACTCCAACCACTCGCCTCCCTCCCTGTTACTTCCATCTTGGTTTTGGTCACCATCACTTCATGCCAGTCACTACAGCAGCTTCGTAAGTGGTCTCCCCACTTCTACTCTCACCGTCTATTCATTCTCCACCCATAACTTGAGCTGTCACTTCTAAAGTACAAATATACACGTGCCACTCCCCTAGGCAAACTCACTAGCTCCCTGCAGCCTGAAGTTAAAGCTGAAGTCCACGACACGGCTCCGAGGCCTGCCTAATGCAGCCCCTCTGCATCTCGCCTCTCATCTCCCTCCCCTCGTGTTCCGTGTTCCAGCCAACATGGCTCTTCTCCCAGGTCTCTCGGCGCACGGTGCTGTCGTACCGACTGCCTTCTGCACGGATTAACTTCCGTCTAAAACACTCTTTGGATCTGCCCTCTCTCATTAGGATTTGCCAAATGTGACTCATGTGGCCCTTGCCTGCACTCCTGCACACCATTTATGCCCCCGTTATAGCACGCGTCACTTGTATTCATCCCAAAGGCCACTTGTCTGTATCCCTATAAAAGGGCAGGTGCCTCATCTTGTGTATTCCTAGAATCTAACACAATGCCTAAAACACAGCAGGTGCTCAAAAATACGTGATGGATGGATGAAAAAATGAACAAATGAATGACTGACTGGATGAAATAAACCACTTGGTCAAGTGTGGTTTTTTTGTTTTTAACCTCATGTTTCCCCAGAAAACCACCAGGTGGTGCAGGAGAGCACCTACTTGGGACCTGGGAGCTCTAGCTAGAAGGCATCCCAGGAGGTCTTTGGTTCTTCCTCCTAACTCCCTGAGATGGTCCTGACACTGTCTCAGAGAGCCCGCTAACTCCTCTCCTTGGCTCCTACATCGCCAAAGACCAGACTCAGGTTATCTAGCTGAAACCTTAGTGCCGAGGGAACCAGCACTAGGGGAAGGCTCAGTGTTCCTTCAGAGAGGACCGTGGGGATGGCTCCAGCCTCGGCTCCAGGACCACCATGTTTTGTTCAGGAGCTGCCAAACAGTAGAAAGCGATGGGAAAGAGAAAGAGAGCTTATTCTGGGAATCTTGATGGAAAAAGGAAGCCAGCAGCTATTCATTAACTAGAAACACACTGGCAGGAAAAAAGCCCAATTATTTGGGGTGCTTTTAACTTACAATTTAAAAACACAGTATAAAAAGAATATAGAGATAATCACATTTAGCTGTTTGACAATTCTCTCTCACTCTTCTCTCTGGAATCCAGTTTTTCCAATAAAACCTTAAAAAAGGGAGAGAATTTAAAGATTATCCAGCTTTATGCAATCCTCTTACTTTTCAGACAAGGAAACGAGAGCCCAGAAAGGGGAAGTGATTTGCTTAAGGTCCCCCAGCTGGTTAGCAGCAAAGCTAGGAGAAGAAACCAGGTCTCCTGACTCCTAGCCCAGAGTTTTTCCACCCAATTTCCCTCTCCCTCGATAGGTAGGAAAGTTCCAGAGTAAAGTTGCTATTTAAAAAGCAAATGTATAGTTTGGCAGTTCCTCAAAAAATTAAACATAGAATTACCACATGACCCCGTATTTCTACTCCTAAGAATTAAAAACGGGTATACTCAAACAAGTACATATACACCTACGTTCACAGCGGCATCATTCACAACAGCCAAAAGGTGGAAGCAGCCCAAATGTCCATCAGCAGATGAATGAATAAACAACTTGCAGTATATCCACACCATGAAATATTATTCAGCCACAGAAAATAATGAAGGATAGATACATGCTACAATGTGGATGAAACCCAAGGATATCACGCTCAGTGAGAGAAGCCAGACACAAAAGGTCATATACCGAATGCTCTCATTTATATGAAATATCCAAAATACGTAAATCCATGGAGACAGAACACAAATTGTGGTTACCAGAGTCAGAGGGGAAGGGGGAATGGGGAGCATTACTTAACAGGTATGGGGTTTCCTTCTGGGATGATGATGATGTCTGGAACTAGACAGAGGAGATGGTTGCACAGTGTGAATGTACTAAATGCACTAAATTGTTCACTTTGACATGGTTAATTTTATGTTACCTGAATTTTACCCCAATGAAAAAGAAATGTATAAATGTATAACACTGGTATCTATATGTGCTCATAAAGATAAAAGAGCAGAGGATAAGGAAGGTGGGTTATTCCACATGGGCATATAGGCACCCTCAGCTCCCTGGGACCAGGTCCTCTCAGCCTGGAAGATAGGCACACAGCTGGACACTCTTTCCGTACATCCTGAGGGAATTTCCACCCAAGTCAAAGGAAGGGGAGAGTCAACCGCTGTCTGGGCATAGGGGTTCTGGTGTGCACACAAAGAATCCAGCACAGGGTGAGGAGAGAGATGCCCTGCCTGAAGGCACCCCTACATCACCAAGGCTCACAGTTCCCCCATCCTGGTAACCAGGGGAAAAGGGGAAGGGCAGCCGCTTCTAACCTAAAGCAAGTGAATTCACGCTTCCAACCAAATCTTAGTTTTCGCGCTATCTTGCTGTATGGCCCAGTCTCATAATATCTCAGGTTCCTCTCCTGGTCCTTCCAATGACTCAAGAGGTTATCACTGGGGTAGAGTAGCAGCCCACCCAGACAGGGGGTGGAGCAGTCAAGGCCCTTCGACGGGAATGCCATCTACCTACGGAACATCCAGGGGAGGAACAAGGAAAATCCCACATCCTGTGGGAGGGCAGATCGAGGCTGCAGAAAGGGCCGTGACAACTGGCTTGGAATGCTGGAAGAGGGCGTGGAATTTTTCTGTTTAGCTCCACGAGGCAAAACTAGGACCAGGTGCTTCTCTGAGATGCAAGGAAGAATTGTCTAATAAATACAGCCATCCTACAATACCATCCATGAAAACGAAACACATGACCCACACACGCTACCAACACGATGTGTGTGAAGGCTCCTTTTATATCGAATCAACCAGGTAAGAGGTGCAGTGTAAGGATATAAAATATACTAGAGGAGGTGTATTGCAGGGAGAGAGAGTGAGGAAAAGAACAAAAATAAGTAAAACCAAAAGAGAAATTCTGTGTGGACTGATGGTGCATATGAACTGGGGAATATGATTAATTTCATTGTGTATCTGAGGTCCCCCCAACCCCAGGTGTGAAAAGAAAAGCAAAAAAAAGAGAGAGAAGAGAATCACTGTAACATGAAATCTTCTGCCATGTGAAGTAGAGAGGTCACTGTTCCTAAAGACTCCAAACGCCATTTGGTCAGGCGCTTTGCTGACAGTGTGCCCACGCGGGAAGGGAACTGGATGCTCATTGGAATCACCTGGGCACCATTTAAATACACAGATCCCTGGACCCTCAGACTTCTAGGCAGGGGCCAAATCAGGCCTGCAGACTAAAAAAAAATTTTTTCTATTTTTTTTTTT